TTTCTTTTAAACGATTAACTACCTTCCAAATAAAGAAAGAAAATATAAAAAAACGAAAGAAGTAATGTTTCTAAAATACTACATTTTAAAAACTAGTAAAATGTAGGTATGTACACTCCAAATTCAAAATAAATACTTTTTAAAAGAGCGTAATAAACGAGCGGATGTTTTAAAAGTACCATGTTAGACATCAAATACCATAGTCACCTTGAATTTTTATAGGTTTATGCAATTTTATGAACCTCATTTAAGGATTGTTATTGTCATTGATTGTATACGGAAAATTTTGTCTTCTATTTAAGTATGACAAAAACATTAGATAATTAAAAAATGCAACCTTCAGTAGGTATGTATATAGTTATTAGATAACAAATGCTATGCAAATATTTACGTAATACCTAGTAGTAGTAGTAATAATATTACGTAGTATAAATACAATTACATATATTCCTACCTCCATAATCGAGTGGCCACCATCTCTGAGATTGCAGGTACGATTCCTAGTCGGGACTAAGTAGGAAATGAACTTTAATATATTCTATCAGATCTTGGTGTTGTGTTCGTTATTCTAGAAAGATTAAAATCCGAGGCATTTAGTTATTTATCATGGAAGCTCAGCAACACTACTTTATGTTTCCTCATATTCTAATATCACAGCTCAATAATTATCACTGAGTTATTAATCATTGTCTGAATTGTATACTTTAAAAGTTTAACATGTAGATGGAACCCATTAATTTTTAAGTTACTAATAAATGATGCGTTAATTTCGTCATAATGTTCTATATATAATAATAATATTGTCGTATAGACGTCGCTGTATTATACATAATAGTCTTCCGACGTGCAGCCGACAAAAGACTATATTTTATTCAAAAGGTTTCAAAGACACTAATTTCTCAATTATCGATATTGCAACGGAGGTAGGATCTGACACTGCCTGTGATAATTACTAGAACGATTCGATATTTTCCGAATTATCGTTCGTAGACAAAACAGAGTAAAGCCTAATGTCAGATTTCCGCATTGAATTTTGTACTCTACTGTCATTATAATAATATTTAAAATCAAGTGCACAAGTCGACAGTTTTATATAACCTGACTGTAGTTACATAGGTAAAATAATACCACTTTGGCACAGTCGATTATATTTCAAATAAAAAATAATACGCATCAAAACTACTGAACCGATTTAAAAAATCATTTCATCCACGGTAACTAAAATCTTACGCGGATTATATACGTGCAAAGTCGCAGGAAAATAACTAGGTATCTATTGCCACTATAATATAATACTAATCTTTATCTATACTAATATTATAAAGCTGAAGAGTTTGTTTGTTTGTTTGAACGCGCTAATCTCAGGAACTACTGGTTCGAATTGAAAAAATATTTTTGTGTTGAATAGACCATTTATCGAGGAAGGCTTTAGGCTATAAAACATCACGCTGCAACTATTAGGAGCGAAGAAATAATGGAAAACGCGGACGAAGTCGTTGGCGGCCACTTGTCGAATTTTTTAATATTTTTTATTACATTATAAATTGAAAAGATTCACAAAAAGTTTAGAATAGACAGTGGTAATACAGAATTAGCACAATTACACTGATAAAATTTATTTGGTTGTCGACAATTGATATATTTTTAAGGTAGCCTTGACTCATCATACACGTCGAACAAAGCCTTCTATATGACGGCTATTGTCTGAATGATCTACGCTTCATCTAACAGCGGCTTGTTTAGATATTCAATTCTCATAAAATTGTTCAGGAACAATCTAGATTTCTATTTCAGCTAGAATTCTCCATCTCGCAACTGATAGAAGTATTATAAAAAGGAAAAAATATTTGCATTTAATTACTAAACTAGTTATAATACCAATTTTAAAAATTCTTTCACATAAGCGAAGATACATACAGCTAGGACTTTTAGGTGTTTTAATTACAGGTAAAGTGTATAAAAATGTAACTTAACTGTGACAATATTAACTGGAACCGATCCCAATTACCGGATTGATTCAATTTTATTCCTTTTTTTTCTTTCACCACTGGGATCACATATAAATTAATAAAAAATCATTACAGTAGCCAAATAAAAAATGTTTAAAGTAATGATAAAAGAAAAAACTCTTTATTTAAGTTAAAAATATTTATCTATACATACAAACAAATCATATTTGAATCAGTTTCAATGTTACGATAAACATTTTTTCATTTGACTGTACTGGTTTTAGATGGAATAGATATTTTATTCATTTATGGATAGTTCCAGTCGCTGTAAGAAAATTATTATAATTAAATCAATCCGGCAATTGGGACATTCGTAACATTTTCGCCTTAAGCGATTCCTAAATTTATGCGAGACATTTGGACGACTCCTAAGTTTAGTGAAAATTAACCTCCACAACGTTGTGCTCAACAATGTGTTTGAGACTGCTTTATAACAGAGTATCATAGCAAAATTGTTACCTAAGCATTCCTTACTCGTGGACTTAATATATTAAAGGAATTCAGTGTTTCATTGATTGTGTGCCGGCATTGTTTGGTAGTAGCTGACACGTGGCTAGACGTAAATACTAAGTTAAAACGAAAATAAAACGGCAAAAAGAGAGTCTGATTCACACACGAAGAATTCCTTACTATTATATAAAAAAAACGCAAAATAATCAAATCTATCTGTGTTGGTGCGTGGGAACTCTCCTTAATTATTTATTTTATTATATTTTTAGTATTTTTTGTTATAGTAGCAACAGTGAAAATTTCAAGTGTCTTGCAAACATGGTTCATAAGATCCATCCTAGTAGCAGATAGATAGATAGCTAAGTCTTAATATTAAGGACCCTATGTAACTAGATTTTTATAGCACGCCCCTACATTTCTTGAATCACAGGTTTCCCCAACAGTTACCTCCGTTAAATTAATTTATTTATGTTACGCGTCCTTCTTCGAGTCATCGTCTTAGATTATGTGTATCGGATTTCAATACAATCGGTCCAGCCAGTAGTTTCGAAGTATATCTATCAGGCTGTAATAAAACAGATGACACTGAGACATACCTACCCTATAACAGAATCTCTTATATTATAGGTTCTATTTATTGTTTTTGAGATTCGCAACTCAAAAAATCTTAGACAATATGAGACAATATTAGATATATAAAATATTGGACAATATTAAATACATTGTTCGGATTCCAAAATGATTAGCTAAAGCCCTTGTATTATGGAGTATATGAGACAGCGATTGTACCACAATTGGATCCATCCCGAGACAATATGGACAAGTTAATATCCTTTATTGCACTTCAAAATGGCTTTTTCAAACTGGTTTTCGACTTAGGTATATATTTTATCTTAGGAATTATAAAAACGATATAATTTTTTTCTTATTTAGCTTCGCGCTCTTAAAAATGTTACTTTCTATATGTTTTTTTTTAAATATGGTTTTACCCACTTCTGTTATAGCAGGTTATCTTTCTATATGTAAATATATATTAGCTACATTAAGTTGTTATAATTAATCTTGGGAAGTACATATTTAACGGAGATTTTAAGAATCAACAACTCGCCTTATCATTTTAAATTTACATTCCATCTGTATCACCTATTCGCCGTTTCCGCTCACTGAATGAACGACGTGTCCTTATATAAATTTTATCCGCTTAAAATTACTTGTTTATATACATTAGGCTTACACTAACAAGACTTAGGTGCTAGATATTTATCAGCCAACCTTTCCACTAATCAAGGAAGTTTTATTGAAAGAAGAAAATATTTAACTTATGATATAATATGCAAACTGCATTGTTCGATAATGATTTTTTTTGTCAAATTGAGGATAACTATTATCGTCTCATCAATTGTAAAAACTCCCGACCTAAAAATCACGCTTAAATAAAAATATAAAATGAAAACAAAATTTTCATTGTAGTATTCGTAATATGAGGCTCTCCGGACCATAATTAATTTTGTTTGGCCAAACATAATGTATAAAGATGCCTGTAGGGTCTACTTATCTGATTTTCAGACAATATTACCACCGCAAAAAAAAAAGACACCTACCCCACATATTAAACTGGTTTTGATGAAACTTGTACTGTTCCTTAAGTTAGACTCTTAATTATAAAATAAAAAAAAACTAAATCTAATTTGCGAACAAATCGTAAACAAACTGCATATACACGTGGTAAGAATCCCTTAAAGACTAATGTATTGTAATATAAACAAACTGCATATACACGTGTTAAGAATCCCTTAAAGACTAATGTATTGTAATTTAAATATTGTACTATTTAAATGAAATTACAAACAAATACCTGTAATTAATTTCTAAGAATTCTTTATACCCTTATTGAATTCACAATTAACTTACTTAGAACATTGTAATCAAAATGGAAAGAAGTGTTCTGCTCCACTTTGATTCGCAGAACATGCGTTCGAAGAGATACGGTAAAAGCAGGTCAACTACCAACATAGGATGTTGATAGACGACTACACTCACCGTAATAAAAAAAGTCAAGAATTTTATCTACTTATATATTTTAAATAAAAACAGGTATACAGTGGTAGCCCCCTACATGAGAAACGGATAATTCCATTTCGGATAGTGTTTTTCATTCAGACTGCACATTAAGCCATAACCAGGGACATAGCTCCCGAAGATTCTAAAAAACAGCGGAGAATTAATTATATTTTCGAAATATAAATTAGATCTTTGTAAATACTCTACAATATAAAATTAAAGGTTCTTAAAATGTTGAGGCATAATATAACATGGTATACTTTATTTTTACCCTACTTATTTTAAGCATAATATTTAAGCATAAGTTTCTCTAAACCTATACGTTGCTCGTTATTGACATAGGCTATAATTTACACGGGCGAAGTCGCGGGAAAATGGCTAAATAGGAATATGAACATGATGCTAAAAACAGGAACCCTGAAATTACACTGTGAAGCAGATTAAAAATGATGACAAAATAAATACAGGTGCAGGTGCAGCATGGAGGCGGTGTGTGCTGCAGGCGACAAAGCGTGCGAGACGCACGCGCTCACTGCTGCGCTGCACTCGCTGCATCTCTACTGCGCCACTATATGTACTGCCCTAATATGTTGCTGTGCACCACTACCTGCACGCTCTGACTGGTTAGTTAATTCCATTGCTAAAAACCTTATTTTTTAACGCAGGGAAAATGCCTTAAACCAATGCTCGCCGACCCCACACCCGCCCTGAATAGTACAAGCGAGGCCGACCTACCTGGTAAAACCCGCTGCGAGTATCCTAAGGAGCGGGGAAGAACCCAGAGACTTTAGTTTTTTTAAATTGCTACTTATGCAAAAACTGTTACTTAAATATACATATGTAACCTTTATTGTATACCTTGTAAAAAGGTCGAAATGTGGTGGGACATTGTAAAACTAAAATAAAAAGACATTTCATGTAAACGAGTGACCTGCATTTCCCAATAAATAAGTAATAATTTATTATTATTATACAAAGCGGTATAAAAACTTACAAAAGCAGTCGGAACTCTTTAAAAAAATCCTTATAAAAACGTAAAAGACCACCATAGCACAAACAAATAGAAAACAGCAATTTATAAAAATTACAATATCATTTTGATAGTTAACTCCGTGATTCAACTCGAAAATTCCAAAATAATTTTCGTTACTATAAAATATTTATCTATAACGAGAAATGTTATTTATCGACACTTTGGAGAATTTTCTATGATACTTATATATTTAGGCTATAACAAAAGAGTGTAATTAATTACACTTAAATATGACTACTTTAGCCATGTGTATAAATATCTATCCAAATTTAGGGCTAGTTTACCTATATAAGGTACTATCAGCCCATAGATCCATCGTTTTAAACCGCTGGAGTGATTAAAGACCTACCAGAATACATTTCAATTACAGCCCAACTGATTAGAGAGGTCAGTAATTCAAACCTATTTGAATTAGATATTTAACATTGGCCTATGTTCAGCAGTGGACGTCTTCCGGCTGATGATGATGATGATGATTTAACATTGCAGCGGTCAAAAAAGTGGGCTTTATAAGGCACACTACCTTATCTATAAACTAGCGTAAATTGCCCAAAATAATTAAATTTATGCTAAAGGATTCACAAAATAATTAAAAATTGACCCATTTTTTATTCGCAATCTAGATACGTATGTTCGCGCGCATTTGAAAAGTATCATTTTTCTTTTGGTAATTCGTATAATCTATTTCAGGGTTGGAAAACGATGGCGCGGGCAGACAGTGAGAGGTACCGCCAGCCTTGTTCTCGGAGCGGCTTGGTGTTGCGGCGCGGCTGCTGCATCCCTGAGGAGATCGCGCACCGTGGCACTGGTAGCAGCCACCATGGCGCCACTAGGATGGCTTGCAGCTGCCGCTCTTCATATTTCACTATGGACTCGCCGTTCCGCAGCACCACTCTTGTACTTAGCTATTTATTGGCTGTTATCAGCTGTATCCGCCACTGCCATATTCTACCAAAGCTTTACTACCAAAGACTGCTACAAATATGTGGATCTATATGTTCAAGCATTAACGATGGTCCTCTCGCTGATCATAGCTGGTGTTGACTGCATCTGTTTTTATGACGAGGTAAGTGTCAGTTTAACATTAAAATATATTAGGAAAAATTGCAAAGCTTTCCAACAAAACACTTTTCCTTATACTGCTCGTATTTAATAATATTTTAGCACAAAGCGATGATTTCTCCAATTTCTACAATTATTTACATTTTCACACATTACAATACAGACAACACATAGACCTCAAACGTTCTATAATAAATTTCTATTGTCATTCTACTTGCCTCAATAAAAATAAAGAAAAAGAAGGAGCAGTCAGTTATTGTTTACTCTTCACGCAAAAATACGTTAGCAAGAACATTAATAATTAAATTACGGGCATATAATATAATAAAAAAGCATTTATTGATGGTGACGATGATGTGGTATGTTGATGGCCATATATTTGCTTCTCAAAAACTCTAAAATTCTTAGTTTGAATGTTCGAGCAATGAATAAATAAAATGAGAGAAATAACGACTAATTTTATTTTGTTTGTCCGTTAGCTATACTCCATTCATTATAACATTAGACAGAATGAAAATAAGGTTCCTTTTATGGTATACTTTGTGACAAACTGTCAACAATCATGTTACTTTTAAGACTAACGGCTAATTTGCTACATATCCACTTAAATACCAGGTGCTATACTTAACCGCTGTCTTTTTAAGCTATATATTAAACAAATTTATGTGTATTTGACAGACTTAAAACATTTAATAATTATTACAATAAAAAGTGTTCATCTTAAAGAAGCAGGGTTAGATAGTTTCGGCACGATTCTCATGTCACTATAACTCTACCAAATTTAAAACGTTGCCTAATCCCTTCAAACGTTTCGGCAGTACAGCTTTTTAATTTTGTCAGATAATGATTTATTCATAATAGTCAAAATACGTAATCTGGGATTGTCATTCATTGTGAATAAAACTGCCTTTCTTGTTGTTTTACCATTTTCGGTGTTTAAGTAATTACTGTTTCGTTTAAGTAATTATCGTTTTCTTATAGTTTTGTTTTAGTTGTTATCTTTTTGTTGTTAAGTTTTGCTAAATTGCGATTCCGGTGCAGGCCCGAGTGGCCTACAACAATTACCTTTGACATTTCAGCAAGTTTTTCCAATGTCTTAATCAATAGTCTAATAATATCTAAATAAATGTTATAACAGTAATAATAACAAAATTCATTTTGTTTACCTTTATTTTCTGGACATAGATATAACTAAATTATATTGTAATTATATTCACTTACAATTAGAATCAATCAAAACAGATAGATGTTGGCTCTCAGTAAAAGATGAATTTAGAAAATGCTAGTCTCATCTCAACCCCGAGAATGTGTAAAATTGCCCAACTCTTTCAGACTACCTACAGTTCAAAATTTCAACAAAACTATTATACATATTTTTTAAATTTATCTTGTCAATTAAATGTTCTTCACTGCTGCTTCTGAGATCCTCTTTTTTCTAATGTTATAATGAATGGAGTATAGATTGTTTAAAAAATCAAACACGTACTTTTTATTTTTTTGCGTAATATTAATGATTATTATGGCGTTGCATTGGTTTAAAATCTCAGATGACGTCACGCTTTTGTACATTTTCTACAAAACTGTGACGCCTCTCCTCTAATGTTTTTCAATTATCTGATTGGCGGACTAAATAGATTTTTTTGTTTGTCGCTATCCCTATTGTTTATTGTTTGAGCTATCGAAGATTCATCAAACGTAAGTCCCATTATTTTCAGTCTTAATCCACACCAGAGGTTTTCAACCAGTTGTGGTGTGGTCCGATTAAATTAACTCAAATGGAAAGCAGCTCATGATGAGGGCATGAATGTGCGCATAGCGTATAACATGATAAGTGCGTGGACACCAAGCATACCGTACATACCACTGCACCCGCACAATTATCGCGAACAACCGTGCGCGACATCGTGTTATGCTGCTCTACTACCAGACGCATATTAGTTTATTTGATAACTAATAAATCTGCATCTGGGACTGCAATTGCTGGATCCAGAGTTTTTTTGATAGAATTAGCTCCAACGAACCGTGCTGGATACAACAGCGCGATTCCGCAAACGTATCAATAAATTCAGAAAAAGTTACTTCATATCTTCATTAGCCGCGTTTTTCAAGACTACGATGCATTACTTAAAGATATTCAGTCTTTTATGCTGTATTAGATTTTTCTTACTTCATAATATATGATAAACGTATGATTATATCTGTATTGCAATAATAAAATAATTATTTTGATCTCAGTTAACAAAGAATTAAGAAATTAAACCAAATGATTACTTTAATTTTTTGTAGTAAAAATCTTTAATAATAAATAAACAAAAGAAATGAATCATGTATTTATATTGATTCCAATTTTTACTTCTTTTGAGCTGGATCCAGCTGAATTCAGGTCAATCTTACAAAAATCCAGCTGGATTGAAAATGCTTCTGTATTGGAATTCCTATCTGCATTTTATCTCACCTTACCATAAAAATTGACAGGTTGCTTACAAAGAAATATCCGCTTAAAAAGCGAGAAAGCGTAACTCCCGTAGTACTTAGTTTCCTGCATTTCTTCGAAACTATTAAAAAGATTCAAATTTTATACGGAAGACGTTTTGTTAAACATTTAATTAGATACGACGAACGCCACGCCTCATCGTGCTTGAGTGCACCGGCCGGAGTTACTGTTGAGTGCAATGTCCCCTTACATCATGACTAAAACAACGGCTGTTGCTTATGTCAAGGTTCCCAGCTTAAAAACCAAGAAAAAAACTTTTAGGCTCGAGGGCTCCGTACTTACTTCACTAATTAATAGTTCTGGAATCGAATAAATATGTTTTGAAATATGCATATCAGGCACTTTCATACGATACCTCACTTTGCCGTTTATTGACAGTCTAAACTAATGTCACCGTTCCAAGTTGAATATAAAAAATAAATTGTATAAAAAAACCCGAAAATCAGTCTATGTTTATAGGTTTATCATATTAGATCAGGTATGACTTCTCATCTTGTAAAAAGGCCGACAGGAGCTCGGGCCTTCCTTATGGATAATTAAGGAGCATGGGCCATGTCCCTCCACGCTGGCCCAATGTTGATTGGTGGGTATTAACGAGTGCAGATGCAGCCGCGACCAACGGCTTAATATTCCTTCCAAAGCTCGGAGGAGTTCGAGATAATAAATTTTTGGTCACCCATTCTATGACCAACCATTGCGGAATATACTTAACAACCGTATCGCAGACCGTGTGCGCTAGCTACTGAGTCATGGAGCTTCAAAATAGTCTAGAATTCTATAATTTTAAATACTTTTAAAGTTTCTAGATATAGGATAAAATGTTTCCAGAACATCGCTTTATTAGTTAGCTGGATTCCTACTGTGCACTTATATTATCGTTGAGTGACCTAAAAGCATGGAACTGGCGAATGTTAACTATACACTACACTTAATCTACATGCCTCACGAACATAAAACTCGCATTTATAACCGTACTAATAATAGGCTATACATATCGTGTTCGAGTTAAAAAATATGAACATGACACAATACATATTCTCTCATACACAGCAAAATTCAAAAAGATATTGTTTAATTATGATCATTATCAGCTGATTAATGTTCCTTACTACTAAGGCACAGGCCTTCTCTATGCATGGAACCGATTAGGAAGAACGGCCCAACCCACTAATTGGGGCTAGTGCCGACTGGTAGTTGTTAGTGAATGTAGATAATGCCGCGACCAATGGCTTCACGTGCCTTCTGTAGCGTAAGAAAGCTCGACATAATAAGTTTTTGGTCACCCATTCTTCAACCTGCCCTAAGGTTGACGCGTCAAAAAAAGTTTTGGGCATAAATTTAACAAAAAAAGGGTTCATTACAAAAAATAACGTTTACGATATTGTTTCAATGCAATTCAATTGTATCTATGCTTAAAAATAATAATTGCAAAATACACTCGTAAAAACACACAAAAGCAATTCTGAACTAAAAAAAGAACATCTCAATTATGTACTTCAACCTGCCGATTGTTTTACAATGCTCTAAGATCCGACTAGACCTCAAATATGAGCAGACAATAAAAAACTCATTTAAATTAACCGAAAATAGTTCATATTAATATTGTCAATAATAAAATACCTTATTCACTTATTTATTCTTATTCATGTATAGGTAAGAAAGGATAAGCAATGTCAGCATTATCGTTAATCAGCTCAGCCAACGACTGATGCTTAGTCTATGGCACTTTTAATCTTTCAGTACACAAGAACTTTTTACTGTGTTGGACTACATAAGTACATTACTGACTAAGTGCCGTTAATGATCCAATTTAAATATATTTTTTTTATCAAAGAATATTATTTACTCAGTGATGCGTTTGAAACTGTTAAATTTCTTAACAAAATATTTTTATAGCAAAACAATGTAATAAGATTGTTAATGTATTAAATATGGATATGGTTTATTTTACTTTTCATAAATCTCTGTTTATTTTTTTCAGTGATTCAAATAAGTCGATGTATTATGTTTTTTTTATTCCAGATAATAAAAAATAGATTCTAAATAAAGACCCATTTGTATTTCATGATATGGAACGTATCATATGAATCATAATATAGTCTTAATGAACAACAGATGGTGTGAATATTATTAATAATAATAGACATATTACAAAGAAACTAGAAAAAATAAAATAAATAAAAGGTATAAATAAAAGAAAAAAAAGATATAAATAATGTTAAAAAATTACCTACAGAAAAATTATAAAAATCACCATTATTTCAAATTACCTACTCACTGAATTATATTATAAGGGAAATGTTCCGTAAAACTAATAATAATAATATAATCTTTGTCGCACATATACAGACAGGAAAACATAACGAAATTACACGGTCAAACAATACAGAATACACAAAAGGCGACCTTATTGCTAAACAGCAATCTCTTCCAGGCAACCTACGGAGGAGAATAATAAAAGGAAAGAGAAAATATGGGGTATTGGGTACAATGATCAGAAGGATATGATAAGATATATCTTTACATATTAAATAAGAAACTATAATTAAATAGCATTAGCATAAAGAAAGGAAATAGCTTTCAACAAAACACTAAGTATATTATGTGGATGTGCGAAATTTCAACAAATATTTGAAATCACTCTTATGTCGAAAAAATCATATTTCTCACATTCTCTCTCTTTTTATCAGCCCTCCATAACCCATAGTTGGGTATAAGCCTCCTCAATCTCATGCCATCCTTTCCTATCCTGTGCTTTATGCCATCAGTTTTTTCCGCACAGACTTGCAATATCGTCAGCCCATCTTTTTAGTTGTCGACCGACTCTTTCCTGTCTTTGGTCTCCACTCCAACACTTGGTCTTACTCCATCTTCCATCCGTCCTTCAACATGTCCAGTCCAACGCCATTTCCTTCTTGCAATGACACGTGCAATGTCGGTCAATTTAGTATGCCTTCGAATTTTTGAGTTCCTTATCCTATCACGCAGTGTAATACCGAGCATAGGCCGCTCCATTTCCCTCTGCTTTACTTGGAGCTTGTTGATTAAGTTTTTGAAGACTCAGAACCATACACCATAACTGGCAGGATACACATTTCAAATGCACTTTAATTTAGCACTAGTAGCATCTTCCTACTTTTAAAGATATCGGAAAACTTTTTACATTAAAACAAAATAAACACATAAAACTAACTTTTTAATACAGACCAATTCTATTAACGTTTACGTAATTGGTAATCGTAGCTCAATGGAATCTCAACTACTTGCATTTGCCATTGTACTACCTACCTGAAGTCGAATATTATTATATTATATCTATCACTATTGTTGTGTGAGGAAGACATAGCAATAATAATATTGAACTTAAGGTGGTACAATGGTAAAATGCTTGCATTTTGTCGACTTGTCGTCGAGATTACATTAAGATGCGATTGTTACGTAAACATTAGCAAATTTAACCAGCTGACAATAACGTACGTATATTTCAACTTTTAATCCAATAAAAAAATTATATTTTCTCTATTAAATATCACATCGCATTAACGCAATGCTCTAGTCAACGACCTTTTCTAAACTCTGATGAAAGTCCTGAGCACATTTGAGATGATGAGCTTTGCAGACGAAACAAGGAATAGTTTCGACCAACGAACCTTTCACAAGGAGAACGCCGCGACGCTATCCTGGCGCCATATTATTCTGGTTTACTTGCAATCCTCTTGTTACCAGTGAACTATTATAAACAGTATCTCAAGTTTATCATGTAGATAAACATATTGAGAGAATAGCAATGCGATTTATATTAAATTTCTTGTTTTGTGAAGAAAAAAATACTTAAAGAACAATAGGGATGTAGACAACTTGTTATTATCTTTTTAAATAAAATATTTAAAAAAATAGATTCATATAATTCGATGAAACTAAAAATGAATATAATTTTCAAAATTCCCCACAACAACGCCACTTCTGTCATGGCGTCGCTATGACGTCACAGCACTCTGAAACGAATATCGTTCTGTGTCGCAGCCAGTCACGTGACAACGAGCATTAAAATAATTGTTTTTTCATAATTAGTTTAAGTAATATTGTAAATATAATGAGCATAAAGGTGTGATTATCGGTAAAAGTATATTAAACACTTCCAGGAAAATAATTATTTATTTTTGTTGGCCTTTAATATACATAGGTATTTAGTACGGTAACAACTTTAATTTTCTTGATTCTTTAATTTTCCGAATAAGAAAAGCGGCCAAAAAAGAGTTTTACAAAGAACGCAATCTTGCCCTACATGACACTACTAAAATTTTAACTTCATCGACGAACTTTATTGCATAATATAGACATTAAAAATAATCTAAAGTTTATAAAAAATACGATATTTATTTTAAATTACACTTGTCTCATGTTACATTCAAAATATATAAGGTAGGTTAAATATTAAAACATTCAGTGAAGGAAAAAATATTATACTGATTGTCTTGAGTTCGACGCTTTTGATGGCGTTACTATTTTCGCCATTACAGATTATTTTGCAATTAACGTTATTTATCAGAAGAAACATTTAAATGATTATTTATTGCAGGTAACAAAACGGCGTACCAATCAGAAATCAACATCCACGAATCACAACATATCATACAAACATAACGATACACATTTCTATTCTAAAATTACATTTTTCTGGATAAACGTTCTACTGTGGCAAGGTTATGAGTCACCATTGGACGAGGACGATTTAGGAGATTTGCCCGACGACGAAAAATCCAATAAATATTATGAGAAATTTAAAAGTATATATTATTCGAAAACAAAGGTTGGTGAACTTTTATATTATTATTATCACTTAAGTATTTGATAAAATTCATTAAAGTATATATATCATAAAGAATATTTAAAAATTCTATGTGGAAGATACGTAGGTACCCTACATACGTTTGATTTATTAAAGTTATTTTGTTAACATCAAATATAATTGTCAATTTCTTAAAAAGGAGATCAATTAAAAATAGCTGCTTTTGCTTAGGTATATTTTTGTCTTCGCCTTGCAATAAAATTTAATGCCTATTAACGAAGTTAAAGCACATAATATGCATCTAATATTTCTCTATCATTTGACTGACAGACTAATAAATTTTTTATAGCCAGATATCATCCCTATTGACTACGCTTTTTTAAAAACTTAAAAAAAAAAATAAAACCCATACAACAAAATATTCCTTACATCTTAAACGCTTGTGAAAATCTAGGATAATATTCTATTTTTTTTATCACCATGTTTATCTTTTGCGTGTGTGATAATACCATTAGAAAATTTTGATGATCAATATCACTGTTTTATTTATTCGCTAGATTTCCACCGGCGGCTTCACTCGCCTATCATGTAATCCTTTTAATATTATAAATGTGAAAGTTTCTTTGTTTAGATGTTTGGATGTTTGTCGGTCAGTCACGCCGAAACTACTGAACGGATTTTGATGAAATATGGTATACAAATAGGGTATTAGCTGACTTAGATAATAGGATACTTTTTATCCCATTAAACATTTCCCTAGGGTCCACGCGGGCGAAGCCGCTGGCGAAAGCTAGTATACATATAAACCGTCCTCTTGAATCACCCCGTATATTGAAGTAAACTACACTTATATCCGTTGTGTAGTTTAAAAGACCGCAGCATACAGACAGCGGGAAGCGACTTTGTTTTATACTATGTATACATACACTCATTAGAATATTCTAGCACAAAAATAATATAGTTAATCTTAGGAATTGGTTATAATAGTGAATGTTACTTCAATGCTTGCCAAATGTTAGTAACCGTAGTTATTGAGTGAGTCTTTATGAGTCACGCGACGCCGTTTCGTCTCGTACTTACAAACTTAATATCTGCTCTTAGTTAGTTTTAATTAGTGTCTAGTTCCAAAACAATCGTTAATGAAATAAGGTGCTTGCTATAGTCAAATTTGTTTTTATTTTATATTGTAGGGTAAAAATTCGGACAAAAGCTATCGTAGCATATGGCGTTGCTACATTCAAACAGTGTGGCCAAACTTCTACACGGCTGGTGTAATGAAACTTTTAGGAGATATGATAAGCGTAGTACCACCCCTTGGATTGGCAGCTATAATACAATATGTGGAAGATCCTCAAGGACAATTTGACAAGGACTCCGACGTTACCATACAGGAATTCGTCAGCAACGGATACGTAATGCTTGTAGTCGTTTCTCTATCTCTTATGTTTCAAGCTCTCCTATCGCAGAATGCCACACATTTGGTGACATTAGAAGGGACAAGATTAAAAACAGGTTTACAGGTAGGTAAATGTAGTCTTGAAGTATTGTATATTTTGTAATTTACTAAAGTTTTACGAATATGTAAAGTATGTATTCTTTTATTAATATTTTATCTCTATATTGACCTATTTATAGGACATCCCCATAACAATGCTAAGATGTCGTATCCTATAGCTAAAGAGATAGGCGGTAACACACCTTTTTTGACGCTGAGAAATGCGTTACGCATACTCCCCTAAAGCGGGGACTGCGGGTTATGTGGGACTCTCCCCTGCGGACCCACCCCAGACTGGGGCTAGTCAAATAGTAGGACATATTCACTAAAACTCAGCGATTTCCCTGTCCATGGAGACGATAAATGGGGACGGCTCGAAGACCATTTCCCGCGCAATTCGCCCCCATTTCGGTCCATCTCTTGGGGGGAGGCGGTCGCACACCTAATCCGACCGAAGACATAGATTGAAATTCTGCCTAACACTTAATAAAGATGTTTAAATTACATAATTCTTCAATGCCTAATGTATAATTCTACATTCTAAATTATGACCTCAAAATTGTTTTAGGGCCTGTTGTATGATAAATGCATGCGCTTAGGACCATGGTCTTCAGCAAAAACCAACGTCGAAGAAGAATCTCCTCTTCTACACTCTCCAGAAGATAACGCCACTACTCCGTCCGCACTACTCACAAATCTTATGGCACAAGACACATATAACATAATGTCTTGTGTTTGGATTTGTCACTACTTATGGGCTATACCGTTAAAGGTAAGTAAATAAAATAATAAATAAATATTAGTCAACCTCACATATATAGCTTAGATACTTTAAAAAACAATAACACTTATATCACGGAAATCTGAAACAACGAAAGTACCACAACACCCAGACTCGGAACAATATAGAAAAGTTCATTTTCTACATTGATCGTGACAGTCATTGAACCCGCAGACTTCAGAGAAAACAATACCCTTGAAACCAGCGTGCAGACCACGGAGGTCGTCGATATAATATACATATAAATAGTATAAGTGTAAAAGCAGAATAATCCACTATCTGTGAAAAACCCGAGAGCTATAAAATCAAGTAATACTTTATGTATTTTTGTATTTCGTCGACTTTTTATTAAGCTTTCATAAAGTGGATCTTTTTCATTATAATTTTTATTAAATTTATTAATCGTTTCTTTCTAATAAAAAAAAACTTAAAAAATAGACCACAATTGTATCATACACCACAAGAGACGCCCATCACCAAGTAACGGGGATTCCATCTGATGTTTGCTATTGTACCTACTTAATCTTTAACTACGTTATATCGTGAATTTATTATCTTTTGAAGTAGGTTTTATTGAATCTCTATACTATTACAGCGCTAAGCTTGACGTCGAGCTCAATGCACTGTGAGGCAGAATGGCATTGCTGTTCGAATTATATTATTAAGAAAACATAAGATCATTATGAATGCATATATATAAAAACTTATCACTAATAAGTAATTCGTTTTAGGTAGCTGTCATATTGTATTTACTCTACACTAGATTGGGTGTAAGTGCAATAATTGGTACAACTGCGAGTATTCTACTTATAACACCGTTACAATTTTATATCGGAAAAAAGATATCAGATAATTCGAAAGATATATCCAAATGTACGGATCACAGGATATCGAAGATGACGGAGATATTACAAGGATTGAACGTTATAAAATTATACGTCTGGGAAGATCTTTTCAATGAAAAGATATTAAATTTAAGAGAAGTGGAGCTAAAATTATTGAATAAAGATTCGATGTATTGGAGTTTTTTGAGTAAGTTCTAAATAAATTTATGGCTAACTGTTTTCCTGAGACTTAGCTCGCGTAAATTATAGCGTAATGTTACCCACGTATAATATCCATAGGTGAAATAATTTTTAAAATCGGTCCATTATTTCTGAACTTTAATGGATAGAAACAAACTAAGAAAAAATTCCTCTCTATAATATATTATTAAGTCACCCTAATATTACTAAGGCATACATGTCACCCGCGTATAATGTAGCTTCTCGAAATAATTCTTAAAATCGATCCAGTAGTTTCGAATCCCATTGAATAGAAACAACTTTTCTCTTTATAATTTTGGTATAGATGAGAAATTTGTGCTATTTATATGTTCCTGTATTGTATATTTAATTTGGAAATTATTATTTTAGCTTTCACAACACAAGTTTCAACAATATTGGTGACCGTAATTACCTTCATTGTATTTTACTTCCTTGACGATAGTAAAGGATTGACAGCAGTTAATGTCTTTGCCGGATTAGCACTATTCAATCAACTTACCATACCATTACTTATCCTACCCGTAACAGTGTTGATGGTGATACAAGCCATGGTAAGTGAATATGACTGTTTCTTAGATCACTCTTCATATGGTTTACTACCCCTGACGCGACACTACCAGTAAATGAAGGGTTGTAACATTTTTAGGTCAGCACGAGGAGAATTAAAGAATTTTTGGAGCTTCCCGAGTCCAATAACGTAAGGGAAGAAGAAAATGAGAATTTAAACAAACCATCGGATGTTTTTAATGATGCTTTTATAGATAACACGCCGGAAGGTGCTACAGAAGAGGCTGGTAGAGAAGATGACGAGGACGTAGAAGATCAATTTTCTGATGATGAAAATTGTGGCACATGTCCTAATAATGAATATTTAATAAGATTTAGAAATGCAAACTTTACTTGGGGGACGAAAACTGATATGCTACTTGAAGTAGACGAGTTGGATATTCCAGAAGGTAAGTAAAACCCACAATAAAGTGGACGATTTGTAAAAAAAACTTTGGTAATTTTTTTTTATGTCTCTCTATAAATATTTAGCACATATTCCTCTCAAAATAGTAATCAATATTTAAACATATAGATTAAAATTTAAATAATGCGCGTGGACTCGCTCGTTTCCGACAGCTTGGTGTTTGAAATTTTAATGTCGATCTTTGTCACTGTAGCCATACATAGGAAACAAACACAGGAAACAATGTCTGATGCATAATATCTAAGTAGCTAGGACTAACTTATAAATAAGCAATTAATTGTTCGTGGATGTTGAACCATTACCTAATGATAGATATGGACAAAACCGAAAAATATTTTAAAAATAGAAAATGTTATAAAATTCGTGAAATTTATGAAAACAAAAATTAAAAATATTAAGAATGTCATTGATTAATTATTACAAATAACGGTTTCGATGAAATTCTTTTAATTTTGCATGTGCACAGGGAGACTGATTATGGTAGTTGGCGGAGGGAGCTCCGGGAAGAGTTCCCTTTTATCTGCCATCTTGGGCGAAATGTATCTAGAACGTGGTGACGTCACGTATAAGGGGTGAGTGTCAACAGATCTTGAACAAACATTAGCCTCAGATTAGTTGAAATCGCAATCATATCGTAACACAAGTGCTATGTGAACAAAGCAATAGGTAATAGATACAATTAGTTATATTTATTCTTAGCCTTGGTCATGTCTCTTTATTATTTGTCTAAACCTTGCTTGGAATTTAGTGAACGGAGTGAGTAATCTAATTTTTGAGACAATCTACAAAAATAACCGATGATTATTGGTAGTGCATTAACATGGTTGTCATTGTAAAATTATATTTATTTAAATACTTTTTAAGGGAAGACGGATTCTGCCGAATCTCCACAGAAGTTTATTCAATTCAGAAAATACCTTGCATACGACAATGTACTAAAAAAAAAATTCAAATGTATTTTTTAATACAGGCGATTACCGATGTGGTACGCGGGTCAACCGCCGTGGTTGATAGAGGGTTCGGTGCGTGACAACATCGTGATGGGAGGACCCTGGTGCCAGCGCCGGTACAGCCGCGTACTGCGTGCCGCCGCCTTGCGCCCGGACTTGCAGCTGCTACCTGGTATAGAGTTTTATTTGTATAAACCAATTAAGCGTTCCTGTTTGCATTTTTCTAAAGTTCATAAGGGGTCTGCTCATTTTTAATTAGTTCTGCCTGTTCAAGAATTTATTACTACAAACCCTGATTTAGTCAATTGCATTATTATAGAAACTAAAGGTAGTGTACTCTTTCTTTTAGTCTCGTTGATTATTATGGTAGTATTCTCTTAACATACCTTCGACTGAACCTTTTGACGTATAGCAGAAGTATATTGTTCACGAATTAATGGAGAGGTGAGTTGGTGAAATCACATCAACTTCAAAATAACATCAGATTATAGGTATAAAGCCTGTATCCTCTGACTGATTTTCTGCCTAGACTTGATCTTGACTATAGAAATTTAAAATACGCAGCAGAAGCAAAAACCTGATACCTTATTGATAAATGATAAGAATAACGTAGGTGGCAATGCCTTGAATTAGGATCTTAGCTATTATTACTTCATTATAAGTAACATTTTTGGACAGAGGGCGATGCCACCAAACTGGGCAGCCATGGTGCTCCATTATCGGGAGGACAGCGTGTTCGCGTCTGCATCGCCCGTGCGTTATATTCTACTGCCAGACTACTCGTATTGGATGAACCGCTGGGCGCTCTGGACGCTCCGCTTGCTCGGCACATAGTCGCTCGTGCGCTCATACCAGCTGTACGCGCGGGACGTACAGTGATCATCGCCACCAATCGTCTTGAGCTGTTACACTACGCTGATCTAGTACGAATTTATGATATTTATTCAAATTTGCAATATTATCTTAAAATTCAATAAAAATACAAGTTCTTAGTTTATATTGATTATGAATTTAAATTACTGTACATTCAATTTTCAATTTTAAATATTACATTTTGTTCCATGTTCACCTCAAGTCAAAAGTGTGTTCAAATTTTAATGTCTTAGTTTTAGTTATCCAACGTTGATTCATCATAGAAGCTCGCTGGTAGTTAGCGTGATCGGTCTGCGGTCTAGTTTAAGTAATTTTCGAAAGGGCAAGTCAAAATGGATGACCAAAACTTGTTACCTCAAAAACCTTCTCAAAAAGCTAAGCCGTTTGCCCCGACTGCATCAGCAGACGTAAACATCAACCAAACTACACTGCATGATGGAAATGTAGGTACACATTTTCCATATCGAATCCATCAATGACGTCATGTGAAGACATCAATAAATGTCATGTTGACTTTAATGAAAATGATAATATTTATAATGATGATGGCGTTGTTTCATAGGTGATAGCCATGGAGGAGGGTCGCGTGTCTGGTGTAGGGCGTCCGGGAGCAGGCCTGGGTACAGGTGCGGTGTCACGTTGGGCGCGGCTGGCGGCGGAGGCGCGTGCAGCAGCGGCTCGAGCTGGTGCCGGCCCTCCTGGAGGAACCGCCAGGGAAAGAACTCGACTCATGAGAGAGCTCACGCGTGCTCGCTTCCACACATACAACTCCGATGAGACCTTGGTAAGTTTTGGATATTAATTTATCGAGATATCCAAACACATTTGCGAAGATATCCAAACACAATTGCAAATACGCGTGAAATAAAAACCTAAAATTCATGGATAAATTGCGGCTTCGAACTTCGTAGACTGTGACGTCAATACATAGGTAAAGGCACTTGTGGGTGGGATCAGAGAGTGTAGTTCACAACAAGTAATTTAAAAAAATGAAAGAATTTAAAATAGAATAAGTATACAAACACAACAATTTATTTTATAAAAAATATAAAATAGAATAGGTATACTAACTATGGAGTAAGAAAATACACTTTAAATATTTTTGAGATTGATGCAGAAAAAATATTGATATTTTTAACACGAATAAAAAATTCAACAACACATTCCATTTAGCCATTAACTCGTTGATTAAAAATGCTTGTTTTTCGAGTGTCCTCAATTTAAAAACTAGATTTACGTACGTTTAAATAAACAAATACCTCGTGCAGTGGCGTAACTATACCGTTTGAGGCCCGTGGCAATTTCATGGGATATTTATTTTTTTTACTAATTGCGTAATTAAGGAATAAGGAGTCCCCTCTGACCAGGGGCCCCTTCCAGCTGTGGGGCCGTGGCATTTTGCCGACTTGTTACTCTGTAGTTACGCCACTAACCTCGTGATCGTTTCACGGGTTCATAAGATACCTTCAAGTTGTCAACTTGTACGAACTTTTATTAACAACACATTTTATATTGATCTGTTGTTATATTGCAAAATTATTTCTATTATTACGTAATTTTAGGTCGGTATTCGCGAAGCAGCCGGAGCACACTTGTTGGCCGAGGTGCCTACTTATGCAGGTGGCAGCTGGAGGCGCACGGAGAGAAGACGCTCACCACTTGAGCGTCAACTATCATCTCCACCGCCTTCCATTCACAACTACAAGTATACTGTTATACTAAAAAAATATGAAAACAAATTCTTCAAATCACCAAACAAATGCCTAAAAAATCATCACATGAGATTTCAAAAATCTGTATTTGGGCATTGATATTAAACCTTAATACATTGATGGTAGATTTGAAAATGAATTGCTAAATTTTGACATACCTATTATAGTAAAGACATGTTGCTCTGTGTTGAACTGCAAATAAACTGTGCTTAAAAATGAGATGAATCAAAACGAATACCAAACAACTTCCAAAAGTATTGTTATGAAATGATTACCCAATATTTTATTATTACTTATGCTCTTCCATATTTCAGAAGCCGATAAAGAAAGCCATTGATCCTGTCTGCATTTACCGACGTTAGAACCTACCAATTCACATTGGCCTCGTGTAATTCATCCTTTTTTGTGTTTCATTCAACTGAGAAGACCTTAACTCCAGCGATAGAGGCAATAATATGCTGAAGATCTTGCGATTTTGATAAACTTATATTACCTCCAGTCCTTTGTTTTAAACCATTGCGTAATAAGACTCATTTCATTTATATTCTTATTCCTAAAGATCATTTTTATTCCTAAAGATGGCGACGAGAAGTTCGCCGTGCTGTCAGCGCTGATGCTTCAAACACGGCACTGCAGCGAGAAGCAAGCTTATTACGACGGCTGCTCCGGCCCCGACCACATCGAACACTCGCCAGGTAGCTACACCCAAGTAACAATTTAGGTTGGCCCATCATTAATCCTACGAATAATTAAGGGCCATTTATTACATTTTAAGCAAAATTAATATATTTCAACATACACCTTGACCTGTCAGATATCTTGAGTGATCAAGATTCCGTTTCTGTTAATATCGCAAAGGAATGTACCATTGTAAATTATTATATGTCACAAACCATTTACCTTATGCGTGATTTGATACGCAGATTTCGTAAGAAAATTTAATTCCTCATTCAAATAATTGCAGATGGACACCCAAAACATTACACAGATTAATAAGTTCAAGTTCAGATCCAAATGCTGAAGAAAATGCACCTAATGGTAAGTGCTTATGCCTTTACCATGTATGCCAAGTATGCCAAGGTCAAATTGTGATAAATACATAATATTGATTTTAAAGAACACTAGCACACATTAGCCATCTAGCTAATACTTACTTAAGGTAAATAAATATTATGTAAATTTTCATAATCAGCCTATTAACTTCTCCACTGCTGGATGGGCCTTTCGAGAGGACATAAAGACAACTGGCAAAATACAATTAATTGGAGAATGAGCTGATACTCCGCTATCTGCATACTAATGATAGTTCCGATACTCCTTTATCTACAGACCAAACAAATGGTTTTATAAAATAAATAATAAATATTTCAGTGACGGTGACTGATGAGCCGACTGGGGAGACAGCATACACGTCTCTCACTTCAAACGGTACAGATATTAGCGCAGATATTGTTAAAGAAGATCAACCAGTTAAAGTTGAAACAGAAGAGATTATTATTGAGGTACGTGTTTAGAGGAACTGTTCAATTTCTTAAAGAATCTAAATGAAAATCATGGGTAATGTTATAGAAAAATTTAACGAAGATGATGAAGAGAAAAGACAAACCTCATTTATAAACAAGTTCGTGACATAAATGTGCAAGAATTTTGTTCTGATTGATACTTAAGTATATCAAAATCACACATTACTCAATACCAATGTGGTGGTAAAGAGACTTCTGGTAAAATCTTGCATGCTTTTGTCAAGAGCTCTTATCATCTATTAGTTCTCCTCTCCTCAGTATTAGTAGATTTGATTTCAATGGTGTAGCTTTTAACTTTCACAAGTATTTGTTATTTAGCCTAGAGTCTAGGCTAGGCCAGTTCGGTCTAGGCCCTAGACCGAACAAACGATATCGTTCATGAACGTACGTCTAGGATAATCGTCAAATAAAAATTATTGATAATAATATGTATTTTTATGATGAAATTTCAGAGTGGGGCATGGTGGGAATATGCAAAGGCGTGTGGGTGGTGGGGTTGCGCTTACTGGGTAGCGGCAGCCGCGGCGCAAGCACTGGCTTTACTAGCGGACTACTGGCTCACACAAACCACGGCACGGAATGTACAAACGCCTTTATCTCGAGATGAGGTAAGAATACACTCATTGTACTACTTTTAATGTAAGAAACAACTCAGATCAGAGAACGACCAAATGGTCATACAGCGACAATGACGACAGGAAGCGTCCCCCTTCGCACATGCTTAAAAAATCCACTTCCAATAATCATGGAAATCGTTTTAGCCTCTTAATTAATGAGGAAGTATTTAAAAAAAACGAAAGCACTAAAAATCCATCTCCACTAGATGGCGACTAGCAAAAGTTGATTTTTGCAGGAAACGAATGGACAAAAGACAGTCATTTCCGTTCCTTTTATATATTAAATATTAAAAATATTTACATATTAAAAAATTGAAATTTTAAAAGTTCGAAATTTAGATATCAATACAAATACGAAAAAGTACAAATAGAATATGAGTGTTTATTGAGTTTTGAAAACTAATTTACTTTTAAACATGAAAGAAAACCGGAAGTGTTGTCATAGAGAAATCAAGAATACCGTACCGTAGCGACATCTGGTTGGATTTCGGGAACTAATGTTTTTTTTTAATACTTCCTCATTAATTTGAGATATGTGAACGTTGCTTAAATGAAACATGTTGTCCAAAACAAAACAAGCAACGATAGAGACAATTCTAATTATGCAACTAAACGATTTGAATGTTGTATTAAAAAATATGTAGTTGTATTTTAGGATATAAAAAAACAATAGATTTTATTCATTTTAGACATCATGTTTCATCACAGAAATAAATATTGACTGTGTGTTTATTGTAAAATTAACACTTATTACCTACACAATAGGTATAAAAATAGAAATAATGTAAGTTTTATTTTTCAAAACGTCCGAATTTGATTTTTTTAATGTATGAATACAATTCTTCTTTTCATTAAAATCGATGATATCTTTGTATGTCTTGCAGACTTTTATTTTTTCAAATGACCGTTACCGTTGAAGTTAATAGGGACTAGAGAGGGAAGAATCCGGGATCTTGCAAGGAGAGCTCCGAAAGCAATAGTTTCAGACTACCCGTTCTTAATGTAACACTCTGTATACCCTTATTATATCTGCACAGATGTGGAAATCGGTCCGTGCATATGCTTTGTGGTGTATCTGCGCGGTGGTAGCGGGCGGGGGTGCGGGCGCGGCGGGCGGGATGGCGGGGGCGCGCGCGCGACGGCGTCTACACGAGCGCCTGCTAAGGGCCGCGTTACACACCTCCCTGCACCAATCACGTGCCACCCCCGCACAACTGTTGCACAGGTTCTCGGCAGACGTGCAAGTCATTGACAGGGTGAGGAACCCGCAACAAGCCAAGAGTATAATTATTTTTAATTGCAATAGTTTCTTCGTCATTATCAACCCTTTTCAGTGGCCTTGCAGTGGGGACATCCCACTACAGGGGCCCGGGTTAAGGAGGATGGGCCAAGACCGTCCACGCTGGTCCCATGCGGGTTGGTGGGTATTTACGACTGCATATTCAGGCGGGACCAACGGTTTAACGTGCCTTATGAAGCACGGAGTAGCGCGAAATAACAATTTAGTCACCCTTCCCGTAACCGAACCTGCGAAAGTTGCTTAGCAGCAACTATTGCAGGCCACAGCGCATTACGGCACTGAGCTACTCGATCGGATACTACTAATGCTTTGCTAAATTCAAATAAATAAATTAGAAACTTCCTGTTTTTGTGCAGAAATTACCGATTGCCGTTACCCGTTGGGCGCAACTAGCTCTACTATGCGTTGCCGCTTTAATCGTGAATGCTATAGTGGCACCGTGGAGTCTTCTCGCCCTCCTGCCAGCCGTGCTCCTCTACTTTACGCTTCAAGCCATCTACTTGACTAACGCTAGGTACATAAGCAGTAAGTAATTATGCACCCAGGAGTTGTAGACGACTCAGGTAGTTAAATCCACTGATGGTACACCTACATGTGTAGATTAATATAGGACAATATTTAAATCTGAAACTGTGTTCAATTAATATGGAGCATAGTGAATCTTCGTTTGCATACTAGATATACCAATTCCTACGGAACGTGAGATTAAAATTTATATTGAACCTTGTTTCAATCAAATCATTAGGTATAAAAAACGACGCATTGTGTCTGTCTTACTCATTCAGCTGAGGTTTCACACGCGGATATTGGTGGAAATATGACTTGAAACATTCTGATTGGCCGACATTTGTCGAGCTTCGAATTTTACCCTTCTGTGCTACTATATACACAAATATAAACAAAATAGAAACATTCTAATACTGTATCAGTATTTTCAATAAATACAATAAAAATCTATCGTATCTAAATACGTACATCGGACTTATAATAGTTTCTAATAAAAATATCAGGGAACTACAGAGGACAGAAGCATTGAGCGCAGCGGGCGTGGTGTCAGTAGCAGCGGAAACGAGCGTATGCGCGGGCGCAAGCACCGTGCGTGCAGGCCGGTTGCAACCGCTAATGCGATCCCGATTGCTCCGCCGCCTAGACCGGAATAACGCCTCGCTGCTTCTCCTCAATGCTGCTAACCGGTGGCTAGGACTCGCTCTGGTACTCGATCTCTATCAGTCAAACCAGTTCTACCTATGTGCATATTTTTATTTAAAGAAACGTCAAGACTAACAACTCTTATGTTGTGACCACGCTAACACAGCACACCATAAATTTACTTGTGCTAGACAGGTACTAGTAATAAAAAAAACTAGACCAAAATCATTACCAGCAAACCCCAGTATCATTATTATTGTTTGACGTTAGCTATCTAGTCCTATGATACTCGTGTTTTTTTTTTCCAAATAATAATACAACCTCTATTGAATGTAACCTTTGCACACAGGACTTGGTGGGTGCCGCTACAGTATGTGTGAGTATGGGCGTGGCATTGCACAGCGGCAGCGGCGGTGCAGTAGCGGGCCTGGCCGGCACATACGCGCTGCTGCTGCCCGCGTACCTCGCGCACCTGGCCAAGTGCCGCGCAGACCTGGACCTGCAATTGGCAGCGGTGGAGCGGGTACGAGCCGACACTAATCTGCCACAGGAAGACTACAGGGAGGATTGTGAGTGTAAAACCTCTTTCGTTAAATGAGCTAGAAGAACGCTATATAAAAAAAAGATAAATGTTACTACGTTCATTTAATAAAGTAAAAATCGCACTATTGCGTTTAAGTGTTTCAAGAATGAAATGGATACGTTTTTTTTTATCATTTCAGGTCCAATACCACAGGGTTGGCAAAGAAACGGAAAAATCGTTTTTGAAAATGTCACTATACAACACGAACCGACAGACTCGCCACCGATACTCACGAATATAAACATCTCTATTGCGCCTGGAGAAAAGGTAATCAAATGTTTTTCCTATTTTGACTCTTTTCTTAATTTGAGATTACATTTAATATGAAAAAAGATAATAAACATTAACAGATAGCGATCTGTGGACGGAGCGGAAGTGGAAAGTCAACTTTGGTGTTGACATGCGCAGGCGCAACTAGTATTAGGAACGGTCGTTTACTCATCGACGAGGCAGATATATCTCAGGTGCCACTCCGCGCTCTGCGGCATCGAGTAGTAATATTACCACAAGAAGCTACACTGTTCTCCGGGACGTTGCGAGAGAACCTTGACCCATTAGCTGTTCACACAGACGAAGAGATATGGCAGAGCATTAAAGCTGTCGGATTGCACGATTTCGTCTCTGCACAAGCTGCTGGATTAGGTACGAACGACGATAAAATTAGTTAACGCTTTCAGGAAGTTTGACTGTAAAAATTTTACCATACGGAACTTACGTAAAATATATAGTTATTTTTGAGCAATAAATTAAAGCTTTGTTACGTGGAAACATGAAGAATACAGTGATGTAAATTATTTCACTTTCTATTCTTCCACTAGCTGATTTTCTGCGATTTCGCTGGCATAAATTATAGCCCATGCCTGCGTTTAATGTAACTTCCCCTAGGTCATAAAAAATTTCATGATCGCATCGGTATTTCCGAAAATAACCCCTGAGACAAACAAAACTAAGTTAGAAAATTTACCTTTTCATTTTATTTTTATTATATTTTTATTGAACTTGGTTAGATAAATGTCATAAATTTATATTGGTATTTAAACTAATTGTTTTATGGGGCAAGAGTGAAACAGTATCAGACCGATCTTTGTGTTTCTTCCTTAGATTATGTAAGTTCCTTCTATAAAATTGTCAGAGTGTATCGTCCGCGGTGGGGGCGTAGCTGGATGGAGTGGAGGTAGAGCGGGCCGCGCGTGTGCTGCGCGGGCGGCGCTGCACGCGCGTCTGGCGGGCGCGCTAGTACTGGACGAGCCGGCCGCCGCGCTGGATGCGTCCGCTGAACGCGCGTTACTCTCAGCTCTGGCAGCCGCCGCGCCTCACACCACGCTACTAACAGTAGCTGTCAGTATATCACTACCTTGTTTATTTACAGACATACGTTTATGTGAAGGCCTGTACCCCAGCAATGCGGCATTAATATGCCGATGATAATCTATGAACATCGCATACACTGCTGTGATCAAATAAAGTGTTTCTTCCTTTTTTTTTGACGCTGAGAAATGCGTTACGCATACCCGTTTCATCCAGCGCGGGTTCCACGGGTTATGTGGGACTCCTGCGACCCCACCCTCGAGGGGGTTAGACGAGAAGCAGGAGTTTACCCACTAAAACTCGGCGATGTCCCTCGCATGGAAGGTGATGCACGAGATCGGCCCGAAGGTCACACACCGCGCGGTTCGCCCCCATTTCGGCCCGCCCTGAAAAGGGCAGGTCCCTCTGCGGGTTGGGGGTACATCTCAGAGACATTTAAGATGCAGTCATTTGCCCTCCTATACATAAAAAAAAAAAAAAAAACCCCACGACGAGGCGGGAGCGTGCAATGCCGATCGGCGCGCAAACCAGCCAGCTGCCCTTGACTAGAGAACAGAGATGAGCAACTGTGCAATCTCCGGCCCCCTACCCATCATGTTGGGAGGATCCACACAGGCAGAGACCTTATCGTGGATTCCCCCCCCCCCCTGAAGGTCGATGCGCCACAGAAGACCGACCTCGTCACGCCCTGATAGTGTTTCTTCCTAGGACTAGCGATAAAATGGACAATAACACGAATTATTATGTAAACGTTGAGAATACAATACATTTCGCTAGCCATAAAGTCGTTACCGCTTGGTACTGCCTTTGTTCTACAGTGTGCGGTTAGCGTCTTATAAAACTCTTATAAACCGTACTGCATTTTCTGGTACAGGTACCACAAAATACAGTACTTTGCGGACAAGATACGTAGGTCTATGTATAGCGGTACGTATCGTTTTATTTCGACGTTCACTTAATATTTTTGTCGTCGTCTGTTTTTTCATCTGCTCGAGAAACAGGCTATAGTCTAGGTAAAAGGTTACTAAATCCCTTATGTTATGGAAATCTGAATGAATGAAGTTAAGTTACCATAAGCGGATGATTCGGCTGAATATAGCTCAGAAATAATAAAAATTTGGAACCGGTATACGGATCACTCGATAAAATATACCTATATTCCCTAGATCACACACACTTAAGTCCTGTATTTTTGTTTATTTCTAGCACCGCATATCTTCAATCCGAGGATACGACCGTGCGATTGTATTGGAAGAAGGGCGCATAGTAGAGCAGGGTGAAGTGAAGACGCTACTAGCACAACCCGCCTCGAGACTAGCACGCATGCTCGCCGCCACACAACGGCAAACTTAAAAACAAATGTGCCTTGGAATGTATTTAATATCTTCCAATAGGTTCTTAGAGGCACCTGAATTTGTTCGTCGAAGGACGAAATGAATTTCCTAAAGCAATATCCACACTTTTATAAAGCAATATTGCATTTGATAATGATAACAGATTGGTCAACGAGGCGAATGACTAAAATGTACACCATGGAATATTAGACTGATATTTCAATTTAAAAGCTCAAAATATAAACGCACATGGTGTTACGAAAGCAAAAGAAGTTGAAGAAGTACTTAAATATCAACTATTATTATGGTAAATTTAAATAGATATTGCAATATGAGACAGTAAAAAACAAAGACTAACTTTAGAGCCAGGTTTAAACCATTATCCTACCAAATTGCTTTAGGTGGCTATTGGTTTAAGACAAGGACTAACGTTAGTCATTAATTTGTAATACAGCAGCTCAAGTTTTCTTAAGCAGCGTCATGAATATGGTATCAATCTTTTTTATTTATTTAATAACGAGCCCTGAGTCTATTGTGCTCCTGTCAAATATATTGTATACCATCTTGTACGAATTAAAAGCATAACTAAACGCCTAAAATACTTATGTAAGAGCATAAGACTGCTTATATTGGTGTGGTACTATTTCTATAAGTGGTCATCAACAACAACCCTACAGATAGGCTGAAAAAACAACTAACTAAAAAACTGATACAAAGTATTATGTGAGCGTTGAATAAAAAAAATATACAACCCGTGATCTACGATGTTTTTTCCAACCAGCCCTGCGATTCTATAAAAATTCAGACCCGTATTCGTATTTACTCATGTGCAGAAATTCTAGTTCCATTTTTTGTATAAAAATACAAAACAAAATTGATTGATTATACGTGTCTTAGATATTTTAATCCTATATCATTTCGAAACTCACTTCACTTATGCAACGAAACATTATATTACAAATGAGGAAGTATTTAAAAAAATAAAGCACTAAAAAAGCACCACCACTAGATGGCGGCTGTAGCAAAAGTTGATATTTGCAGGAAACGAATGGCCTAAAGACAGTCATTTCCGTTCCTTTTAAATAACATGTTAAAAACTGAAATCGGAAAATTTCGAAACTTAGATATAAATACAAATAAGAAAAATTACAAAAAGAATATGAGTTGTTTATTGAGTTTGGAAACTAATTTACTTTTAAATTTGAAAGAAAACCGGAAAGGTTGTCATGGAGAAATCAAGAACGTACCGTGGCGACATCTAGTTTGATTTCGAGAACTAATTCTTTTTTAATACTTCCTCATTCAAATTTGAGCGGATGCCGCTTTTTGAAGTGAATTCAGATACCTGAGTGGATTCGAATTCGGGTTTGAAGTTTTACAGTATCGCAGGGCAGGAGCTGCAAACTCGACATTGATAAAGATCGTTAAGTAGCGACTGACCGAACTATCTCTAGGAAACTAAAGAATATTGCTAATTTGACAATTGCACTCAGCTCGTGCCTAAAAAATAACATTATACTGCAATAATGGATAAATTACGATCGCTATGAATTATCGAAAGTATTCGGCAAGATAGCGATCGCAAACTTTATCGAAACTGCAGCCCCAGAGCAAAAACCCACGCCCTAACCCGCTATTTGAGGCAGGATTTCATGTTACCATAATTTTGCAATGTATTTTTAACCATGTTATATTGATTTATGATTTGTCGCCCCCCAGTGTCAATTGGTGCCTGGGGCACTAGATCCAGCTATTTTAGACATCTTTATCGTTCCCGCGAAGTTCTGCCTATTGTTGTACGGGTCATATACAGGTCATATATGCGTTATATTAGCTATCGTATTACTTAAACGATACGCATCGATCTTTATCGTTCTCGCGAAGTTCTGCCTATTGTTTTACGGGGTGAGGTCATATATGCTTTATATAAGCTATCGTATTACTTATACGATACGCATCGATTTCTTTCAACGCTCACATGATATCTATATCTGCTCTATAGTACGAATTAATTACATTTATTTTTCTACCTTACACATTTTCACAAAGTTAAACTTATTGTAGGTTTAAATGGTTTTTATTAGTTTAGTGTTATAATGAGAGAATCTCCAATTAAAATATTAATTTTAATTAACTATCGGTCATTTGCACAAACGTCCCATAAGGTTTAATGACGCATTTAAGCTCTAATTAATGTTACATTTATATGGGTAATGTCGCTTTAAAATAATAAAAATTTTATTGGACGTTTGTGCAACTGGTTGTATGTCTTACATGTGTTCATTTCAAAATTCGTACCATGAAACTGATCCATCTAATCAAACCGGAAACGTTCTTTTCAAAACTTATAATTTTTATATAATTAGAATCACATTTAGCGGTTGACATCACGTTTTATAATCTTAATATAAGTATATTTTCTCGACGAAAAAGTCACGCATCTAATGTAAGATAGACAATGACATTATGTTTAAAATAGTAGCCATTAGTCAGTATTAGATTAGTCTTATCAGTGGAATGAAATATCATAATAAACTTTAATTATCTTAAGTACCCTGTACATTAATTTTTCAATCCGCGATGTCCGTCAGTACAGCAGCACCACTCTTAGATTTTCTAATGATTTGTTAACAGAATCGTCACTATACCCACAATGACACACATTTGTATCCGAAATTTCAAAGTAATTTCAAAATCCAAGATGATGGCGCTTGTGATGAATGATCTGATAATGGCAAGACGTTTTGTAAACGCGGTTGCTATAAATTATACTTATTACACATATACTACCAACAAATTATAAGACGTAAGATCTAATTAGAATTTAGAAGACTGTATGCCCGGTATTGGTTTCAAAGGTCAATAAGTATGATTCTGAATATTTTATGTAACAAATAGTGATAAGATATAAAACCGTTATTTACTGTTAATGAATAGTTTTCCTTTTAGCCTAATTATTTATATAACTAAAATGACTCTGTGTATTAATTATTTCAATATGAAATACATCATTATTATTGTTTATAATTTATTAAAAATATATATGTACATTTATATAACCATTTTCCGTTACGTTATCTAATATATATATGTATAGACAAACGGAATGTTTCACACCACCGATTGTTACAAATTAAACGTTCAAATAAAAACCACGTGTTTTCTTTTTTCAATTTGTATTTCCAATAGAACAACAATTGCACATAACTCTTTTAAAGCTCACATTGGGCGCGACAGACGCGCTCCGCACACAACGTGCGACCAGAGTCAACGATACTTATAAAATTATATAATATATCTACATAACAAATTACAACAATATTACGTTGGCACCGATTTATACTGGAGTGTTACAAAAATAACTGTAAAACCTGAAATGTCATTGACTATACATAAGTCTAAAATAACCCTTTATTGCCCGTGCTACTACCGTTCTTACTACCAGTAGTAATACCGGTAAAGCGTTTACCCGTCTTACTACACACGGAAATAACGAGCTCTACTTCTATTAAAGCCATAGTGATTTAAGATTTTTTGGCGCAAATACGTAAAGCTGGGATATGATTCGTGCATACTATTTAAGGAGTGTTTATTTGTTAGTGTTTTTCAGAGGCAAAGAATAATAGAAATGCACACCATATTCAGAGACATAATATATAGGTTGTAAACAAGAAAAGATGAATTCAGCAAAACGCAGCAAAGATTGAATACTAACTTTTAGAAAATTAGGCCGTTTGGATTGGATTTCGCTGCTTTTAATTTAATAACAGTAAAAGAACTTTAATAAAAAATGAACTTTATGAATGCACGAATAGAAAGCTTACGATATTTGTGATTTTTTTGAAAAAAGATTTAAGAAAAATCGCAAACTGCTATGGCTACGACATTAAAAAGTACACCCGTACCCATTATTTAATTTTTTAGTGTGCTGTCAATGACTTTTCAAGCTCAACAGATATTTTTACAACACTCTGCATATAGTAATATAAAAAAATTTGTGTCACGCACAAATTACTATAAAAATATTTACTTAAAGTACTTGCATACGTTAATATACATTATTCTAAATTAAATCTCGACACGGCTAATAATTCCATTTTTTTTTTTCACTTATTGACTATATTGGTATTCACATCTGATAAGGGAAGGCAGTTTACATTTTCATAATTGTTATTATTATAATTTCATGTTATACTACGAAGGAGTTCCATATAAAAATATATCTTTGGCAAAAATAACTCATTGTACTGTCAAGCGAAAAATATGTATACAATTATGATATTGTCGATTTCTTATTTTCATTACAATAAGAAAGACTTACAGAATTTTATACATATTTTATGTTTCACCGTATCTAGTGTTGTTACTTATTTGACAATATATTGAAGGCACTGAATCAGGACACTTTATTTTGATACATATACGAGGGTGGTTTGAAAAGTTCTTGGCCTGACTAAGATTTGAGGGTAGTATGTAAACTAATTTATTGTCATTCGATAGCTCGATTCTTTATTTAATCGTATGTCAAGTGCCATCTTATTGAGACAAGGGAAGAATATGTAGAAAAATAAAACATGCTTTTATTTTTCTTTTCTTTATTTTCTTGGTCAAGCCGAGAACTTTTCAAACCACCCTCGTAAACTAACATCTGAAATGTCAAATAAGGAATTAAGGCCTTCTCTTATCTGCAAAAAAAAAGAATAAAAACAAATCATTTTTATAACAAAAAAAGGATAAATAGAATAAAATAAAATGTTAAATCTTTCAAGACGTATTTGAGAAAAGTTGAGTGTAATAGAAACTTTTCGAATCAATATTCGACAGCAAATTGGACATAACGGGCGAGGCGCCCTTTACTAATATTGTATGAGAACCAGTACATAGGTTACTAAGAAAAGGCCTTACCACAAATTACTGTGCAATTTATTAATACAAGTAAAATAATTTCAGTTTGGAACAACGAGCTACCAAGTTAAGTATTTAGTATGCATACTTGAAATTGAGTTATTTTTCTGTTGTTGTTATAAGACCAAATTGACTGTCAGAAACTAACATTACAATATTCATTTTACTGCATATTAAATACATTCACCACATTAATGGCTAATGGCAATCAGAGAAAATAAATGCTCAAAATACAATAATACGTATAAAAATTACATTTCAAATTGTGCGTCAAACGAGAAATTCTAAATTCGGCTCAATTTAACAATTAGTGAACACCAACGATTCGGACAATTAACTTAACTTACTAAAAGATATACAAATAAAAACTTTTTGTTGACCGCCGAAATATCAAAACTATTTGAAATTTAAATCTTAACGTTTACCAACTTTAAACTAGCCTTTCAAACCCAAAAACCGGACTAATTCCTTAAAGATAAGAACGATCTATTTAATCAATGATTTGAGTGTTTGAGACTTTTTATTCGAGACGGCATTTTCTGTGTTCATCTAATACAGTGATTCCCTAAGTGGTCCAGGTGGACCCTCAGGGGTCCACGAGGGATTCAACGGGGGTCTACGTTGGCGTGAATTTCCATCATAAGATCTTCACATTTTGGATGAATTTTAGGAATATGGTAAAACTGTAGCAGCACTGGGGGTCCACCGAAACCAGTAATTTTTTTTAAATGGTCTACGAGAAAAAAATGTTTGGGAACCTCTGATCTAATGCGATACCTGGCGTGTTCGCATTGACTGATGCCTACCCGCATATGTTCAGTGAGTAATAAAAAAAATATTTATAATGTATATACATATTATTGATCAAAAATGTTATAATAACCCAACATTATACATCATTTAAGTCACAAAATTTCGAAATACCTACATCCAACCCACTAAAATGGTTCTGCAAATATGTAAGTAACACGCAAGAAATCAACAACTACATACAAGATATATTTGTACATATCACAGTCTTGGTTCAGAGCTAATCTATCCTAATGAAGTCCAATTATTATTAAGATGAGTATGTACAACAAATTATCATATATATAAGATTTATTTTATATGTCAACAGTGATTTTTTAATTTTAATAAACTATAAAGAATATATATATTTTTTTTTGGTTATGCAAAGCTCTGCGCCAAACTGTTTGTATAAAATTATATACTTAATATTTGTAACAACGATTTTTTAAACTAATTCGTAACGTCCACTGCTACCGGTGGTGCGTGCAGTTATGCAAAAAACGAGTAATAATAACAACATGTATAATATTATAGGTAAATGCTTAATATTTTACCACAGTTTACATAAATTCAATTTAAAAAACGACAAATCTGTTCAATTAAAACCTCATTTACATTATACAAAAACACTTTTAAAAAATTATGTATTTTTCTATAAGATAAACGTCAACATAGCATTTGGAAGTAAAAAATACGAATATAATTTTTCTTTGTAAACTTCTTTTTTTATTTGAATAACTTAAAGATTTTTATATAAACATTATAAAAATATTTCTGAATTTTACATAGTCATATTTATAGTGGTTTTAATTAACAAGCATTACACCAATATACAAATAACTAACCTAAAATCAATAATATATTAATTAATTTGCATAAAGGCACCATGTATCCGCCATTAACAGGCGGCAAAAAATTAATTAGCCCAACAGAAAGCCACAACATGAAATCAGTAAGTACAGTCTATGGTTATGAAACTATAAATATATTAATATTCGTTGACTACTGTGTAAATTCACAGACAGCATTCTGATTTTTGACAATAGGAAATAAAATTACAATTTCCATTGCTATATCTACAAAGTTAATTTGAAGTAAAATGTAGTGAGTGTATGCTATAAATATATTTATATAACTTATGAATCCATTACACTTTTTGGCTTCAGAGGTGATTATCAGCTGCAAAGAAATAATAACAAATTTAAAAACTACCGTTTGTGAAATTAGACAGAGGACTCGTAACAAAAATGAGCTAGGGCTTTTTAGGTGTTGATATTTCTGTATGTTGAAGTACTATAGGGTTTCCATTAAATGATCAGGGCAAATTAGAGTTCTGGACCGTCAACTTTTATAGTCAACAGTAGTATCAAGTATGTAGTAAAAGTCCAGGGGGGCAGCTCGCTCTCGATATGACAAATAAATGCAAGAGTGTTTGTTTACATAGACAACTGACTTTGACAATTTTCGCTGGACAGCAAAACCGCTAATGCATTCGATATTATTATTTTGGTTAATATGTAAGTGAGATTTACTGACCGTGACCGATAGATGGCGTGACGTGTCCTATGTTATGTGGGCTCGGATTTGATACCAGCACTAGCGGCGACAGCGTGGCGCGCCTCTTCAGGTAACCTCTCCGGGTTCGTGAGTATATCCGTAGTGGTACACAATACGCGGAGAGAGTTTAACACAGCTGCAATCACATTTTTATACATTTTAATATCATCATCAACCCTTTGAGTTCCTCACTGCAGGGTCTCAGCCCTTCCTTATGGATGGTTAAGTTGTATGGGCCATGGCCCTCCACGCTGGCGCAATGCGAATTAAAGGGTATTTACGACTGTAAAGCCAGGACCAACGGCTAACGTACCTTCCGAAACACGGAGTAGCTCGAGATAATAATTTCTGATCACCCATCCCTTAACCGACCCTTGCAGAAGTTGCTTTACAACAGCGATAGCGAGTCTTGGCGCCCACTGAGCTACTATCATGCAAGAACAATTTAACATGATCCATACATATTCAATCCGTTCAGAAGTAATATTTTTATTGTACACACACGTGAGCATACTGATTATTCATAATTAAAATTAAATTGTGTGCACGCTTGGCTATTTCTAATAGACGGAGAGCTCGGCACAAAAATGTGCAAGTTTTGTAACGGCTGGTACTTCAGTATACTGAACTGTTAACACCGCCTTCATATTTTCTACCACATAACTTTTGCACTGGTTACTTAGTGATTATATAATTATTAATTCAATATACTGAAGTGTCAACAATTACTCTTCCACGTTTCTGTCACGAGCTCTTAGACTACTATAAGAAATTTTTATAGTCTTCACCTTTTGAAAGTCATAATATTAAACACACTGACTTAAAACGAAAAAGACCCTAAATTGATAATCAGATATTTAATAATGAAACAAAACATGTTTTTTCACTAAATAACCTGTAAGCAAATATTGCTTTAGTATAAGCTTAATTGTATTTATAACTAATCGTAAATTACAGTGATATACAAGTAGGTACAAACCTGGTCGCATCTCTACCAGCGAGCAGTGTTGTTCTGCCCATAGCAATGTGGTTCGTACTAGATCAGCACCGCTGCCACATGATACACAGGAGCTGAATGAATCCACTAGCGCTGCAGCCACAACGCTAAACTGATACCAGTGAATCAAGGACACTTATACAGTGAAAAAAAATAGATACAAAAAAATTTAAACTCCAAAATGCAATGAGATAAACTAGTTTTAAAATGTGATTTTTTTATTTGACGATACAGATTTTTCATATTTATAGGTAGATAAATTTGTCTTTTTCTTTGATGTTAATAAAGGCAGTTTCATAATAGTATGTTAGTTCAGAATTTCGATTTAAAGCTTGTTTTATAAGATTATATTTTTCAAGTTGATCACTACATTGCGGCCTGTCAGGTGAATACGATTTTGACACTCCAACTGGAATTCGATATGATTTTACGCTACATTCGCTTACATAAAAAAGATAAACATTTTATATTTTAAGAACTAATACGATGTTATTAAGCCTTAATTTAATAATAAATTGAAAAACTTGATATTGTATTTTATTTAAATAACGATAGATAAACTTAAGTTCAAGCCTAACATTCTGTTAGAAATCTAAACAAGAAAAAGGAAAAAAAGAAAATCATAGATTACATTTGATCTGACATCATTGCAGCGTCGGCACGAGTACTGTTTTACCGACACGTCGGTATAACAGTCCAAGCTATATCAACGCGTCGGTAAAACACTGCAAAGAATAACATCATCCTCACGCAGTTTGTGCAATTTGGCACAGGATTAGCGAGCAATTTTCTTGTACTCATTTAGTAATATACATAGAAGTCTTTGCTGTAGGGTCATTAAATTTTAAAAGGATACGAGCCAATACTTCCAGTTGTGCATTGTTCTATTGGCGACGTGACGTGCGAACATCTCACGGAGGCGGCCGGCGCGAGCCCGAGACACCGGAGCGCCCGTCGCCGGTAACAACGAATGACAGTTGCTGTCAAACCATTACAAACCTTATTGCCTGCCACATAATTTTTTATTTCACTCGATCAATAATATAACGTAAACGCTTCGGCCCGTTTCGTATGGATTTTTTTACTCTATAAATGATTAGCTCGATAGATCAAATTAATATTTTGTACCCATCTATTGCACCATATATATTTTTTTTAAATAAAGTAGATATTATCTGGTACCTGTAAAATAAAGCGACACATCGCTAAAGCATCGTCACTTTATTTTAGCGGTATATGTCGACTGCTGAGAGTCTAATGGGCCTTGACCTTAAAATGGTTATTACTTATTTTCATAATTTATTTTTATTGATAAACATTAGTTTCTTAGCGCCAGGTCTTTTTTTAAAGTTATATAACAATAAAAAACTGTGCATTTTCCCCTATCAATCGGAAATTCCCTATTATTGCCTCTTTAATATATAAAAGTATAAAACAAAACATACAGTTTACTTACGCAATAGAATTATTTAAACTATCAGTTTGTTGTTTTAAACTTTCCATTTCTTCTGTTATTTGATTTCTTTCAGCTTTCAACTGTTTTATATATTCAGCTCCCTTCTGTAGCATGGCTGCTTTGCTAATCTGTTATAATAAATAATATTATGTAACGCTAACCATGTCATGTCCCATGAACGCTATCAACGACAAAGTATGCTTCGTCATCGGTGCTTTTTAAGGTTCCGAAGATATGTGGTAAAAAAGAGACCCTATTACTAAGATCGTCCTTCCGTCCGTCTGTCACCTGGCTGTATCTTATAAACCGTGATAATAATAATTTATTTATAATTATGATGTCCACTCAGTAGCACCGGCGGGCCAGAACCGGCTCGTATTTTTTTACGTACAGTATTAGTAATGCATCGAGTCCACTTAAAACAAGTTTAAAGAGTGTTACGACAATGTGTCAGATGTTAGTGATAGCAATAGGCTTGTGACAGACAGACAGACAGCGGAGTCCTACCAATAAGATCTCCTTTTTACCCTTTGGATACGGAACCCTAAAACTTGTTTTGATAAACAATGTTCCCATTGAGCCGCACGGATATTAACGGTTAGTTCGGCACTGAATTTAAATTAAACATTTAGAATTAATAAATTATCGGTCTTATCTATTAAATGAACATATACTTTTCAAATAATAATATTTCTACAAAACATTTGTTTGCCCGTCAGGTAGATTGTTGAAGAATATTAATATTTTTTTATTATTTGCGCAATCAATAAATTACGGATATACATTAAGTTAAAATGTCGCATGACGTCACACTTTTGTACATTTTCTAAAAAATTGACGCAGCGAGCTCCCAATCCTCAACTTTAGCCATTTATTTTTTAAATTGAAGCAAAAAAATACGTATCTAATATTTTTCTATTATCAGACTGATGAACTAAAAAGAATTCCTTTTTTTACCCAGTCGTCATTAGTATTGAATTACCTTATTTTATTTACATAAAAAGACCCCACGTTTCTCGCTTATTACCAGTTTTTATTTACCTTAGCTGCAGGGTTCGTGTTGTGGTGTGGTATTAGCGCCTGCAAAGTATCGAACCCGTTCTTGATGTTGTAACGTCGCTTTTGTTCAGCGTGCAAGTGTGTACGACGCGGTTCACGCGGTGAACCGGCGCGTGGTGACCCCGGTGACGTCGGTGGAGATAAAGACTAACAGTGAGAAGATCGTTTGATTTAGTTTCTTTTATTTTAATTGCTAGTTACTCGATTACTTAATTACTCGATTGTAAAGAGAGCGTGATCATCGATACTTTTAATTTTATTAGAATGGTTGTTAACAAAAGCAAATTGCTGCCATTTTGGCACACATTCTGTTTCCGATCGCCGAGGAGTAAAGACATCTGACGACATCACGCTCATCTCGTTATATTTTCTTGAGAAAAGTGATAAAATGGAACAAATCCACGTTGGTATACACGCCTCCGATATGGACGATCTATTTGGGCTTCGTAATAGCCCCTTCGAACCTCCCGCCTTTATATATATATACATATAACTGAATCCCTATTTCCCTTGGTCACGCAATCACACGTGAACGGCTGGACCGATATCGCTAATTCTTTTTTTATTGTCTTTGTTATTGTCAAAAGAGGTTCTTATGAAAGTAAATAATATGAAAATTGTGTGGAAAATTGTTTTGAAAATTTAAGAATATTTAATAAAATGCTGCAAATATTAAAATTTATTCGACAATACAGGACAACGTCTATCGGGTCAGCTAGTAGTAGGAAAGATTTCATTGTTTGTATGTTTGTTTGCATCGAAAAGGCTCCGAAACTTGCTTGAAAGAAAATATTGCAGTAAAACTACTCCACAGTAAAGAATGTTGTTACCAAAGACTAAGATACAGACTTTAATTATATTACAGAAAAAAGGAAAAGACAGTAACATATTAATAAAACCATTTATAGCTTATTACCTATTCTCAATCTAGTGAAAGTTCTTAATGTTTATATTTACCTGATGTGGTGACATGACATCGCTGGGTATAGGAGAAGGCTGACCCTTCCTTATGGGAGATCTCGTTGGATCAGTGCCTAGCAACCCATCTTCTGTGTTACTATTCAGCTTATACGAACTTTTAGCTGTAAATTGACATAACAATTTCACGCAATTTTAATTTATTGAACAATAAAATCAGAATGATGACCAGTGATCGAAATGGGAACATTAATTTTTTGTACTTATAACATAAATGTTCATAGAAAAAAATAGACATTTTTCCAGATTCAACTGAACATTGTTTATGATGGTAGGGAGATTATTGCTACTCAATTCCAAATTTTAAAGTACATACTTTAAACTCCTTTAAACGAACCTTTTTTAATTAAATTACCCTACTGATATTTTAACCTTTAGCAATCGGATCCTACTTTAAATTATTGAAATCAGTTTGTTTTAAGTCTTACAAGAATGATTAATTTCTTACAAAAAATAGAAAAATAAATATATTAGTTAATCAATTCCAAGGGAATATCCATATTAATGTATATGTTTCAAATCTACCTACACTAATCACTGATAATAATGATTGTGATTTTATTTTCATCAAGACGTGTTGCCAAATTTATACTACATATAATAACAAAAATTCAAACACAATTTTTAACAAATTATAAAGTATGTAATTATTTAATGAAGATAAGATACAATGAAAAAAATATAAAATTTATTTGCTATCTGTGATAATCTTTAACAAAATGTTAAAATAGTGTGAAGGCGTTTCAATTTTTTTTTCTCTTTTAATGAATATGGTACGAGGGTCAAACTGAAAGTTCTTAGAACTGGCCACTTATAAACAATATAATAAAAAAATAATTCTAAAATTTGAAAATATAACTCTTTGCCAATATTACTGAGTATATATTTCATTCATTTGTCATTTGTTTTACGATTTGGCGGCAAATTGAAAATTGTCTGTGTCACGTCATCATGAATTTAACACGAGAAAATTTTCGTGCAATGATTTTTTATGACTTTCGATGTCATTTAAGTCAACAAGAAAGTTATGATAGACTACGATTGGCCTTTCACGATGAAGCCCCATCTCGTGCGACTGTTTACAACTGGTTTAATGAGTTTAAACGTGGTCGCACTAATCTCACTGATGATTTACGTGAGGGACGGCCTTCTACGGCGACGACTGAAGATAACATCTGTGTTGTGCGGCGTATGATAGAGACTGACAAAAGAGTGACCTATCAACAGATTCGGACAAGCTTAGGCATCGGTATGAGTCAAGTGCACAAAATCCTCCACGAACATTTAGCGGTCAGGAAGCTTTGCGCCCGGTGGATACCTCATAATTTGACTGAGGCTCAAAAACTCCATCGTGTGGATTGGTGTCGTAAAATGATTGAAAGATTTAACGGAGGTGACTCAAATGCTGTGTTCGACATACTAACAGGTGACGAAAGCTGGATTTACTGTTATGATCCTAAAACCAAAAGACAATCTGCTCAGTGGGTGTTTCCTTTCGAGGAGTTGCCAACTAAAGTGAAGAGAGATCGAAGTGCGGGAAAAAAAATGGTGGCCTCGTTCTTTGGAAGGATAGGTCATTTTGCAACAATTGTGTTAGAGGATCAAAAAACAGTTTCTGCAGAATGGTACACTACCAATTGTTTGCCACTTGTCTTGGAAAAAGTTCGAGAGAAACGACCTCGCAGTAGGATCCTCCTTCACCACGACAACGCCTCGTCGCACACCGCCAAGCGAACGATCGACTATTTGGCGACATCAAACGTTGAATTACTGGGTCACCCGCCGTATAGCCCCGACCTCGCGCCTTGTGATTTTTATTTATTTCCAAAAATTAAAGAAAAACTTAAAGGAAAGCGGTTTATGAATGCTGAAGAAGCGGTGGCTGCGTATCGCGATGCCATTGAAGAGACCCCTAAGGACGAGTGGGCAAAGTGCTTTTCCCAGTGGTTCCATCGCATGCAGCGGTGTATTGACGTGAATGGACAATATTTTGAAAAGATATAATAAAACTAATAACTGGCTAATGTAATCAGTTTTTGATTTTCTAAGAACTTTCAGTTTGACCCTCGTAGAATATTAGTTGTGGAGATGGTCTACGAGTTTATATTATATACTAACAATGCTGCGCAGACAGCAGTTGTGCGAGCATGACGCTAGCTTGCGGCAGACTTGGCTCGGACGCTACGCTGTTGAGTGGTGGGGGTAGGCGCGCCCCTCCCTCCACTGTCCCCACCCCTACTCCGCCTGACGTAGATCGCGATCGCATACGCACGCTCGTAGTACTCTCGCGTGTCTGTAGGCAAAGTCATATTTCGTCTATATGTTGGTTTTCAGATATTTATTCATGGTATCGTATAACATGACATCTGAGGGTCTATTCTTTTTATCCTCGAACGAAAATTTGGAAATTTTTGAATCATTCCTATAATTATGTTGAAATCATATCCGTGAAGATTATCTGTACATCAGAGGCAGTGGTCAGGTCCTCCTCCGTTGCATCATAAATTTTCAAAAATGCGTTTCTTTGGAGTCTTATAAGCATTTCATAATTAGACAAAATTTAGAGTCAAATAGGCAAACATACAATTGTCTTTCATCATCAACAAAAGGGGTCGATTCATATATTTATAAATATAATCTAGCACATTAAACAGATAAATTCGTCGCTTAATAATCCATATTTCCGTGAGACGCTTAATAGATTATATATCACATTTGCACCAATACTAAGTAGGAACGTTTAATAGAAACTTTTTCTTCTTTATCTCCGATGGCAGATTAGCATAATATTAAAATTTGTGCACTGAACAAAAAATCTTATAGATGTTACTTTAATTATATAAATAGGAAACTGTAATTAAAATTGCAATATTGAACCGTATTTATTGGTAAAAAGGTGTCTTTTTATCTGACCCGAGGCGTGTGATCGCGTCGTTGTGTCTCGTGTTGTGCTAGTGTCCAATCAGCGTTGAGATGTGCTCCCAATGGCAGGCTGTGAGACCTGTACTGTTCTTGACCGCCTGTGTTACCGCTCGATACCTACGTATATATAAATAATAATAAATCATTGCACTCTTTATTGCACAAAAACAAGGCAAAAAGTGGCTTTATCGTTAGCCGACGATTTCTTCTAGGCAACCTTGCATTGGATGGAAATAACAAATAAACATTTTAATCAAACAAACAAAACACAAACAAAATTCTCAAAACACAAGTGACATCCAGAGCGCGAGAAATAAGGAAAGAAAATTGAAAAACAGACTATATTTTTGACAGAAAATGGGTTTTAATTAAAATTACTTTATAATGAGCTTAAAGCAATTTGAACAACTATTTTATACATCTCCTACTATTCTTTATGTCTCTGTATTTGTGCGCTTCGGTGCACAACAAAAAAGGTTGTATGAGCTGAGATCCCTTAGCCTTCAATAAATTTACTAATATAAATTCCGTAAATTGCTAATACGATGAGACCTTGTCTAAATAACACCCGCGTGACGTCAAAGAAAAATAGAAGATATATATTGCATAAATGGTAAGACATCAATTATTTATTGTTGAAATATTTCTGAATAACCACCAGAATATTGTTATAATAATTTAATATCTTTTAGTTTATAAATTTTGACATGAATTTTTGGAAAAGACTCAATTTATATGTAAAATGTAGGTATATATGGCGGATTATTGAAATATTTTAAACATATATTTTTTTAAAAATTTTGCGTAATCAATAAATTGCGGCGACAGATCGAGTTGAAATGTTACATGACATCACCCTTTTTTCTGTATAGTTGAGACGTAGACTACTCCTAAACATTCATGCCTTTCTTGTTAAATCCAAGTAAAAAAATATATGTCGCATCATCATTACGAAGATCGTTTGATTTAGTTTCTTTTATTTTAATTGTTAGTTACTCGATTACTTAATTACTCGATTGTAAAGAGAGCGTGATCATCGATACTCTTAATTTTATTAGAATGGTGACACTGACTTTGACAGTTCGTTAATAAAAACCAAATTGCCGCCATTTTGGCGCACATTCTGTTTCCGATCGCCGAGGAGTAAAGACATCTGACGACATCACGCTCATCTCGTTATATTTTCGTGTGAAAAGTTATAAAATGGAGCAAATCCACGTTGGTATACACGCCTGCAGTGTTATTTTAAAGATAGTCCTCCGATATGGAGAATCTATTTGGGCTTCGTAATAACCTGTTCTGACTACCCGCCGTTAAATATGTATCTAATATTTTCCTATTATGTAACTGACGAATTAAATAGAATTTCTTTTTTTTTTTACACAGTCATCATCCTTATTGCTAATACTGTAAAAAAAATATACCTGTTGATGTTGCACAGGCACAGGCGCAGGCGCAAGTGGTGGCGAAGGCATTTTGAATGCACGCGCATGGTTTTGAGGTGGTTTCGGTTTGTAACTGTCCGTTGGAGGCAAGTACTGTAACTGCGGAGATGTCTGACGTTGCTATAGAGACAAAACAACACAGGTGTATACGGCATTGTTTTTATTCTTAATCAAAAACCCTTAAAACTCCACTTTGTCCCTGGTACTATGAGATGGCATCACATATAATAATTATGACAAATTTTTATCTTTATCGATATGTGTAGTGGGGCGTAACGTCATGCGTTGCTATCACGTGACAATGAGTATAAAATATCTGTTTTTTCATGTTTAATTTGACTATCGGTAATAGCATATTAAATACCACCAGAAAAAAAAATGTATTTATTTTCGTTTATACTGTCTACACCGGTCCGATCGCAGATATAGCACGATCGCCGAACATTACTGTCCAAAATATATAATGTTCGAAAAAGTTTGGTTTTTAAATGTTCTAGTGCTGCCGTCTACAGCGAGATGCATAAAACTGGCAGTCCCACTACCATCCAGCCGTCTGCATATCAAAATGAGGTTCAATCTTCCTTTATATCATACTATCTGTAGTCATCATTCACCATTTTATAGAAAGAGCGCTTTGTACAAACTAATTTGTCAAATTTTAGATATTTTTATATATCAACTTGTAAACATTCACTTAAATATCAAAAATAGTATGTAAATTATGTATAGTGTAACAAACATATGCTAGAATAGTAAAAAAAATAAAAAAAAAAAATAAATAAAATAAATATAATGTATGTAAACCGGTTTAGTGAACCTATTAAATAAAAAAAATAAATAATTATTAAAGGCTCACCTCAATCGAGCGGGGTTCGAACGGGGCGGGCGGGGCAGGCGGAGGCGGAGCTGGGGCGTTATAGGCGGGGTAGTGCGGGGTATAGTGGGGACGAGAGCGGGGCTTATCCCGCACGTAACCCCGCCCCGCGCCCAGTGACGAAGCGTACTTCTGATTCTGCACCGGCTGTTGGAGTAACGTCACCGTTTCCGGAGCCGTTTGCGACGGCGGAACCGCTACAATTAAAGAAAATACTCTTTACACTGCACTCTAAAAGTTCATGATTAATTAAATACTCTGTTAATAACAAGAGCGAAAGTTGATCTTTATTTCTCGTTTCAAAAAGGGTTATTCTATGAAAATCTACTATAACCTTTTTTCATTGTTGATATTTTCCACATTTACACACGCTACTATTGATAACATTTTATAATCACTAATCTGCTTTATATAAAACAATAGCGAGAGAAAATTTTAGACAGCGCATCTAGTGATGGACAGGAAAATCTTTATAATTACATCAACCATTCTAATATTGAACATTTGCTTTAAGTGTACAATATTCATATTTATTTGTTTATTCACATTGATTGGTTTAAGCCTTAACCTTTAAGGCTTCGTCTCGCCTCGGCAAATGCACACTCATTAAATAATGAATTCCTTACTCTTCTTGTTGAATAAATAACTATGATAATTCTTCTTAAAATTTATGTTCACATTATCTTCAAATTCGGCTGTATAGGCAAGTTCAATGTTGATCACCAAGGTGTCATCCAATCACCCAGTTTACGATATATTAAAACAAATTAAATTCTTAATCGTCATGCGTTTTCTCAAAATTACATCGTATCAGATTTACAGTAATAATGAATAAGGAAAACATCATACCGGTATTGTACTTATAATAAGGTTCAGGTTGCTGAATGAGTTTTGACGGTTGATTCCGTTTTGGGTAAACATTGGGCATCTGCGAGTCTTCATAATAGACGCCCATCTCGGGCATCATGCTCGGCATCTCCTGGCCGAATATCCTTCCACCATTATAAGCGCGCATTTGTTCATTTTTCACACTCTCCTCCGAAATTAGCATCTGAGTGTTGCTACTTGAGCCCGCTGTAAACAAATATTTTTTTAAATATGAACATAAAGACAAACGGCTGGTTTCTGAATTGAGAAAAGTACAAAATCACAACTGATTATTCTCAATAACTTAAGTTTTTTTACCTTTCACAAGTCAGAAGATCTTAGTTTTATCAAACTGCTAGCAACAGATCATTCAAAAAACTAAATTCAGAAACGAAAACCTGTTTAAGTGACGTTTAAGTAGAGTTTAAGATGTGCTCATCTTTAAATTCTCAATACAGAAACCGGATGTAGACCATGTTTATACTGAGAATTATTTCGTGCCAACGCAACATCCGCGTGGCGTCTACAAGACCAAAAAAAAAACAAATAGAAATCTATAAAATTACCAAAACAACCATCTTTAATACATTTCATTTGGATTCAGTTAATGATTTCCCAACCACGCTTTTAACTTTCAATTAAGTTTCTTAAATGTATAGCTTTTAAACACTTTTTAGTAACCACTACTTATCTGATCTCGCTCAAATTTGAACCTACAAAATTATAATGTCAAAAAGAGTACTGGATAATCTGAGCGAAACACTGGATTCGCGGCGAAATACACAAGGGCAACGCCATTAATAAAAAAGAAGAAGAAAAAGAATCTGATAAATCTAAATTATCACATCGCCATGCATACTTTCTGAAGCGCAAGTAAATACGATAGTATTATAGTGTATTTGTCACTTTCCTGAAAACTATTTTAAATCGTTGTTTAATACATTATAAACACACTGTCAATATATTTCATGAGAATGATTCTATTTTCTATAAAAATAAATGTTAAAGTTTAAATAGCCAAAATCACGTAAAAAGCGCTGCTCTATGTAATGACCCTAATCACGTGATATTTGTGACGTCACACACCAGTAAATATGTCAAGGCGACATAACCTATTTATTTACGAAGTAAACAAATAGTATTACAGAGAAGAAATTAAAGTTAAATTTTATGTTTTGTATCTACTCTGGATTTGTTACAAATACAAAGTTTGCGTATCTCTTGTAAAACTGTTTTGACACCTAATTTATTGTCTTTACAACCAACTGATGACAATTAATTACGGGGCGTTTGGTCGTTCATTAAATCCCTACGAATATTGCATTTTCTTCACGTTGTTTTATTAAAGCTGAACATATTTTGTCTGCAGATTCTATGAAATAAACTTTATTAGATTATTATCTAACAGGATGACCACAACATGGAACTTATTTTCAATAGTGTCAAATACCCTATTATACATACATATATATATCGTGGCTCACCATGAATAGTCATTTGACTTGTGGGCATAGTGACGGAGTTATTTCGGTTAACCGATATATATCCAGATTCGTACGAGTCCATGGACATCCCACCGCCACGATAAGGGTCCTCTGCTGGAAGCGTGCTCTCTTCTGGAACCGGTGGCAATCTCGGAGTCGCCGAACACAGCAGTTCTGTATACAAGACGTATCAAAATATGTTAAACAGAGGCATGGGTCATATTATTTCAAATTTGCTATTGAAAGTCCTTAAGTTGATTATGATAAAGTTGCTCGTGGTTAAGTAGTTATTTGTTGACCAATCGATTGCAGTGTGTAAAATATTTTTTACAATCTACGCTATGTATATATTTTATGTGTTTATAAATAAACTAGCTTTCCGCCTGCGGCTTCGCTCGCGTGATCTTTTATTATACATAAAAACCTTCCTTTTGAATCACCCTATCTATAAAAAAAACCACATCAAAATCCGTTGCGTAGTTTAAAAGATTTAAGCATACATAGGGATATAGGGACAAAGAAAGTGACTTTGTTTTATACTATGTAGTGATGATAATTTAAAGAAAACAATCTCTGCAAGTTTTAATTAATGAAAATCAGAACGTTGACTATTCATAGCTGTTATTTTAATAATTGGCTATTTAACAATTATAACAATATTTTGTAAAATATGTTGGAAATGTTAACTTATATGTAAACAATAATTATGAAGTACTTTTTGCTATAAAATAAATTGTTTATATTACAATATTAATAACAAAATTCTTGTGCAAAAAATTGAACTGACTTTAAAGTTTTGAAAAGTGAGATCACATATCTAAAAAGCGACTTATTTATTCAAGATTTCAATGGCAGTTGCTATTGAAAAACGGGCGGAGATTTTCTACAGGTTATTAAATGATAACCGGTAGACTTCAGCAGCAGTTTCTTTAAAAGTTAACTCGCTTTTAAGATAAGTGTTATGTCTCACTTTTGTAAAGTTTAAAGTCGGTTTTATTTCCAAAAATGTATTTCATGATTTTTAATAAATCATCTTTATAAAAAAGACCCCATCAGCTGACCAAGGATCAACTCGCTTACCGTGCAGAGATATGTGTACATCTAATATCATTTTGTTGTACATTGAATTGGCTAGACCATCTTGACACTGGAGACGAAAGTGGGTTATGTATGTTAACCATACATGCAAGCGCCAGTGGCTATCCAGGCAAACCTATGCCAAAAAAAATCTTCATCCCCGCAATGACGCTCTCGGTGGGATGTACATGGAGTAACAATACTAGAAAATTCTTCGTACCTATAAACCACGATCACATCGAACGTGTATACTCGATCATCTGAAGCTTGAACATCATCATAAGCATCCACAACATGACAAAATATTTTTCCTCCATGATAATGCCCAACCGCAAATTGCTAAGAGTACCCGACAGAAACTATTAGAGTTGAACTGAGAAATAGTTCCACATCCTCCGTATTCACCGGACTAAGCGCCAACAGATTTTAGTTTATTTCGGTCACTTAGTAATAATTTGCGTGAAAAAAGCTGAACCCCAGTTACAACAGTACATAGATGACTTTATCAAACCCAAACCGGCAAAGTATTACAGAGACGCAATCCTTTCTTTGCCTAATCGCTGGCGTACAGTGGTAGATAACGACGATGATTATATTGTGAACGATTAGCTATTATTACATTAATAAATAAATAAGTTACGCGTGTCGCTCATTATTTATTAGCAAACCTGATAATATTATAAAAATCTCGGAAAATCACTTTTTTTTCGTTTATTGAATAAAATATGAAGTATATCTTCTTAACTATTTTGCCGTTATAATATTGAAAATAAATCACATGTCTACGTTTCATAGCACGGACGTTATTATATGTAGTTGCATTAATGTAAATTATGGCATAGTCACTATTTGTTTATATGATTGCAAAACTTATCGCATTAAGAGATATTTTATTGAAAATAAATATAGAACATCAAAACATCTGAAAAGATAAGTGTGTTCTTAGATATTATTCTTTATATTTATAATGTCAGATAATAAATAAAGGTCAAATAAGTAAGAACAAACAGAGGACAAAATCTCAATCAATTGCTTAAAAAAAAACAAAATATGGAGTAAATATTTCAAGTAAACTTTTTCCATACTCGTACGTAAACATACATTATAGTGTTATGGCGTACCGAAATCCCATCAGACTTCAAAAGCAATTCCTTGATATTAGTTGTTGAAAATTGAGAAGCACCTATCTACATAGTTACCATAAGTAAAAATATCTGCCACCAAAAATAATACCAGAAACCAAAACACAAGCGAAATTATCTTTCGGGTATTAGACCAAGAAATCAGAAAAATGAACTATTAAACAAGTTACAAATAATTACGAAGTCTTATTTTTTATACAATCACTTATTTTTTTTTTTTTTTTTTGTTAAAATACTCGTATTCTTCAATTGACACACCTCCAATTTTCATTGTATGATTGAATTACATGTTTAAAGTAACTTTGTGTGCTTTGGAAGAATGACGAGTTATCACCTAAATCAAGAGCTGGAACCTTGAAACATACAATTGTTTACCATATCTTTCAGGTAGATCAATCTAGAGTAAAAAAATTAGTACATTTATTTCCATACCGTTAAAACAACACATAATTACAAATGATTTAATGAGGGTAGGTTTGCCAGGTTTTAATGTCAAAATACAATCAGACTAATTTCTTCATCCGGACTTTTTAGTAAAAAGCCCAGGCACGGGCACCCTAAGTTTTTAGTTTTAATTGTCGTCACACGACACGACATTTTTATAAGGTTTTTTTTAAATTACCGTATTATCTTTAATTCTAATGAACTTTGAATAATAAGAGGATCTGCCTTTTTAGTCACGTAGCATTAATTAGCATATTCAAAATTTCACAGTTAAAAATCCTAACCAAAAGTGGACAGTCCGGACACGGTCTAATTGGCCGCATATACAACTACAAAAATTTGACTATATCTGTATTTAGCGGACGCCTAGTAGAAGGGAGTTATAGTACCTTGCAGTGGTTCCAACGTGTCCATAAAATCCTCTAGATTTGGTTGCAGAGGACCTAAACTCGGCTGAATGAAGTCTGCTAAGCTTGCACCTCTCGCTGTGAATTAAAAAAAAAATCATGTACTTCAAATGATTAACTAAAAAAATCTCGAATACTCAAATTCACTATTCATTGGGAACTTGACCCATGGCAAACTTAAATGAGATAAATATTGTCCATATCGCAATTATATGATGTTAAGGTCAATTAATGTACAATCAATCAGAATATTTTGTGTTTTTAAAACTGATACTCTATAAATGACTTGGCCTATAGCCAATTAATATCCGTAAGCGAAGTGTCTTCCGTGTTTATAAATAAATATCTAAAAAACCTAAACATAATCTTTATAATGTTTACTTATTTCTTTACTGTAGGTTTAAAAATGCTTTATATATTTATGTGCAATAAAGTATTTCGATGACCTCCTCGGTCTCGGGTTCGATTTCTGGTCGTGACAGTGTAAAAAATGTTCTATATAAAAGTAAATATTTTTTAATTTTCCACTATAATGTAAATTATTCATTGATCTCCAGTCTCAATACTTACCGATCTCCCTGCAATCAGGAAAGGCAAACGGCTGATGGTTACTAATAGTAGAGAACAGTGTGTCGCTCATGAAGTTCAGATAATCTTCATCCGTGAGCATGTTTCCCGCCATGTCGCTGCACTGCGAGAAACACTCCACCGTGTCCATATCCGAGATCTGAAAAAAAAATATTTGTTCGTAAAGTTTTACATGACTACGAAATGGAAGGTGTTCTCAATTTTAACGGACTTTTTTTATCTTCGTTGATTGTGCATTGGATTTGATGAATTTATTTTTGTTTGAAAGAATATACATACATTCAATGTTGTCCCTACTTCAAATAAGGTTTGAGTATTAATTCTTAAAAGTAATTTACTTCGAAGTTTATCTCAAAACTTACTTATTGAGCAGGTTTGTTTTTTTTATGAGAGGTTAAAAAATTATAATATTATCCTTAATTTAAAGACATTCTAGTGATTTTTTCAAATGTTAAAAAGTAAAAAAATATAGTAAATAATTAGAGAATAAGTTAAAGAAATGAAATATGGTAACTCTTATATGACATTAAAATTATCAAAATAACTTCTAATAAAAAAAAAGTTGTGATACGTATATACTAGCTTTCGCCAGCGGGTTCGCCCGCGTGGTTGCCTAAGGAAATGTTTAGTGGAATAAAAGGATAGCATTAGTAAGATAGGTAGAAGAGAAAGTATTCCGCTTAGGTTTTTTATTCCAAAAATAGTAAAAACGGTCCATAGTTAGATATATTAAATCTGATTTACCGTGTCCTGCACAGTGGTGTCTCCCTTGCCGAACAGCCGCATTATGTGAAACATGCGCCATTTTTTATATTCTGCTATCACTGCTTCAGCTCTTCTTTTCCAATATTTACCTTCTAATATTGTTGTCTGAAAACATTCGCGGTTATAGTAATGATGTTATATTAACTAATGGGGTAATCTTTTGACCCTCTGTAGCCGAGTGACTCTCACACTGGTCTTATGGAGTCAATATTTTAGGAATTCGATTCCCGGTCGGGTTAGTAAAAAAAATATTTTCCCTATACTGTATCTCTGCAGCTCTACCCCGTAACTGAAGCCATGATTGATGTGTCAAAATGTAGCCCTGGATAATGTATCAGGCTGACAGATCAGCAGTAAACCAGTTTAAGATAGAGCAAATTGGTCTGTGATTGGAAATGCAGACCAATCACAGTATAAAAGACTTGTTTTACTGTGGCACAATGTTATATTTCACATTAAAAATCACTCGGCGCAAAGCATGCTTAAAAATCTACAATAACAACAAACTACCAAATTAAAAGCACAAGAAATGCTAGCGTGAGACCAAAAAGAATTAACATTTACTTTAGCAGCCCCTATGTACATTGCTACTTGGTCTGTGTCGCTGGAACAACTAAAATGCTGCCGCATGTACCAAAGTATTAAACATGTACAATACGAAGCAATATGATCTTATATATCTCTCCTGTTTTCGATATATTTGCGTCGGAACAACCTAACCCATCCCCGGCATCTTTACGCCACTCTCCCCTATGTGTATTTTCGTTGTGAAATAAGAATGTTATCAAACTTTTTTGCAATGTAAGTTAATTTTAAAGTTTTATTGTAATTTTACCTCCGGTTTCACGTGAGTATCAACATCCAGCGGCGAAGCAAACTGACATACCAAGGTATTTTGCTTTTTTATAACTGAAAATAGAAAGAAGAGAATATTATAATAGTAAGCTTTAAAAAAGTAGATATTTTCTAAAATGTTGGACATTGACATACATAGAACTGTGCATAGAACGATGTTTGTTGTTGATATTGTTTATGTTGATTTCAGAGGACTGTGACGTCACATCGGCGCCATGACAGAGCTTCGAGTTTTAGCGGGACATTTTTAACATTAATTTTATTTTTAGATTTTAAATTAACATATGACATATATTTTTTTAAATATTTTATTGATAATATTTTATATATTTTTTTAAATATATTTCAGATATATATAAAAAATATATATATAAATCAACATCTGTATTCATTAATTAATATGAAACATAACGATTTCATTAATTTTAATTTTAAAGAGATGTTTTTGTTTTATCAAATTAAATGTTGTATTCTTTTGTTTTAATTTTTTTTTTTTTTTGAGTTCAGTAGTTTAAACATTCATAAAGTATCACCATGTTCTACAATAGACAGCCAATTTTACAAGTGAGGAACGTGAGGAGTTATGAAATTGAAATTTAAACCATATGCTGTAGACTTAATTATCTAAGTCTCCAACCCCTTAAACCTGTAAATTAATTTTACTTTCTGTACTAAAACACTTAAGGGAATCATAATTAATAGGGTTCAAGAAAATTCTGAAAACTAGATATGTATACATTATTGTAATCAAGTTCTACAAATATATAGTCTTATGGAGGGTCCAAAAATAATTTAATTGAAATTTCAAGTGAGGCATCACTTAAAAGGGTTTGATGTATAAATTTTAAAACATCTTTTATTCAAATTAATATTATCAGAAGTAAAGCCAGTAAGTAATCTTTTGATCTTTTGACAATTGACAGGGCTGTATCGCCATTTCGAGACTGTTTATACGCAATTACACTGTTGTCATGGTAAATCGTCTTTATGGTTCAGTTTAAGCCAAGTAAGTAGCGGGTAAGCACTTTGGCATATAGGTCAACATTAACTTCAGAGTGAGTTACTAACCCTGTGTAAATTCAATTTTATTAATTACAAAGTCGGGTAATCAATAATGTAACGTATTATATTATCGATATTCACAAATAAAAACATCACCCCATATATTGTGATAAGGCTAAGCGTAACGTAAAGTAGAATTTGACGTCACTACACTAATAGCTCGGTAATTGTTTCATTTAAATAATACGCTCAAAATGATTGTGATTCGAATTCTTAAACAGTTTACAGAATAAAAGGAGTGTGAAATAAATGTAAAAGTATTACTTTTTTATAGAGTTTTCTTTACTGCCCGGGGTTAAGATTTTCAAGCACTATTGTAACATGTTGCTATCACATAGTGGCTAATGACAATGTAGGAATAGGCATTAGATAATATCCGAGTTTTACCCCAGAAATAAAAATCCAGGGTTTTTAGTTTGTTATCCTAGGTTATATATTTTGGCTGGTGAAAGACGTAGATTGATAAATCTTTAAATGGCGTCATATCTTTAAAAGATTAGGCAGATTCACGGTCTGGCAAATTTAACGATCGAACTTTGACATTTATATTTTGGGTAACAACGCACATACCTTGACTTAAGACTTTACAACTGATATAACAATGATAAAAAATCTCTAATTAGGTTCGAAGTTTTACAAAGTTTTGAAGACAATTATTATTCAACATTACGTCATGTTTACGGTTCTATTACTACTGAAAACCAGAACAAATTAAATATTTAAGGGAGCTCTCACACAACAAACGTGATTTTTGTCTTGTTTTTGCTCGATATTGATAATAACAACACGTAGATCTCCTACAGATATATGCAGTCCATCAAAAGTGACTGTGTCATAAATCAATCACACTCATACATTTTTTTCATTGCATATACATTATATTATAGGAAAAGGCCACACAAATGTTCGAATAGATAAGTCACAAATATTAAAAAAAATTTCGCAAATAAAACCGCAACACCACTACACACTTTTATACGTTAAAAAACAAGTGTATCGTCCTAAACACTAAGCTAAGGACAGTGTAGAAGAACGTTTTTTTTAAAATTTACAGTTGATATTTATGTTTCATTTTCAAGTAGGTGTATTTTGAATAAAATTGTAGGTTTTTATTGTCTACATTTAAGTGATTTTTTTATAACTTGCATATGATCAGAGTTTTTATTTAATCTAATAATACATTTGTAAGGGGATTATCCGTGATTTAAATAGATAAAATTATTTAATGAGAATGCCCCAATACAATTGTTGGTAATCGTTATTATATTTTATAACGACGAAGGTGACGACGAGATAACGTAATAATCGCATCTCAATAGAATCTAAAGTAATTGCATTTTACCATAGTACTATCTACCTGAAATCCAATATGATTAGTGTTGCGTCTTCCTCATAAAGCAATGGTGACAGATATATAATAATATTGGATTTTAAGTAAATAGTATAATGGCATAATGCAAATAGTTGAGATTTTATTGAAATGCGATTATATTACATAAACAGCAGAATTGGGCTGCTGGGGTCGACAACCTGCGGCTCGCGAGTCAAATTTTCGCTGTATGCAGCGATACAGCTCTTTCGCAGTAAAGTTATGGCTCTCTATTTCCATTTATAAAAAATATTATACCGTCGAAACCCTTTAAAATTATTTATTTTAAATAAAATCTCGAACACAAGTTTAAATAATATTAGTAGCTTTTGGTATTTCAACTCATAAGATTACCGAACCCTGCCCAACCAACAAATTAATATAGTTTCGAATTTAACTAATTGAATATGAAATCAATGATCAGGTTTTAGAAAAGTAATTATGGTTAATGAATTAATAATACTAGTTGTTGGTGTAGGCAACATTTTTTATTGATTTACTTTTTTTTTACCTGTATTGTCTATTAACAGGTTTTGAGCTGTTTCTTGTTTAGCGTAGCATATGTGGTACAAATATATTTACTGAGATTCTTTAGCCAATTGCTTTTATATGTCTATTGTCTACAGTCTGCAGTGTTTACTAGTTATACTTACACTGCATGTGCCAGCACCTCCATATGACATTGTTGAGTCTGATTTTGTCCTTCCAACGAAGCTTTATACCTTTGAAACGATTCCATTTTGGTGATGTTAATTTTTGTCTGAGAAAAAGAATTCATAAATAACATATATCAAATGTTTCACTCACCAAACTTATACTAATCACAAAACTAATATTAGCTACATATAATTTTAAAAGTGAATCAACAACATAAGTCCTTAAGGTCGTAAGGGTCATTTTTAAATAAAATTTTATATCAAACATTATTCTGGCAATATGTGAATTAAATTCTCTTTTGATAATATACTCTGAACACAACACTGTAGTAAAGCGATATGCCACCAGACAGTTAAATATTGGATTATTTATCTTGTTACTATCAAAAGGATCTAGGGTACTTACAAATAACAGTATGATAAGAATTAGAGTCAACCATATCTTATCAATTATATTTCAACAGTCTATAAAAGCAAATATTACAGTTTCTTCAAAACAGTTATCAATGTTTATAAAATGCCGACATTTAAAAATTTGTATATATATATATATATAGACTTGATCAAATTATTAATCTTTGGATGAAAAAACTCATCTAAACAAATACATAGCCTATATGAGATTAGTATGGCTTTTAAACTACTGAAAAACAACAATGCAGTGGGTGACGACTGAATCACCTCAGAGCTTCTGAAACCGGGCGGTAAGCCGATACTTAAAATCCTCCAGAAACTCTTCAATTCCGTTATTCTCGAAGGTAGAACTCCGAAAGCAAAGGGTGAAAGTGAGGTCGTCTTGTTTTTCAAAAAGTTGTTCTTAAGGGTCATTACGAATCGTGTCACTCGCAGGCTCGATGACTTCCAACATTCCGAACAAGCCAGGTTCCAAGAAGGCTTTTAGTACCGTGGACCATATTCATACGCGGCGCGGGTAGTTATACAGAAGACCGAAGAGAATAACTGGCCACTATGCTTGGCGTTCGTGTACTACAGAAAGCTTTTGATTCGATCAAGACATGGGCGGTGATACAGTCTCTCCAAAAGTGCCAAGTGCACTATAGGTACATCGAGGTAGTAAAGTGTCTGTATAAGAATACTTTTATGTCAGTCCGCTCACAAAACCAAAACTAAACCTATCCAATTGCAGCGAGTCATAAGGTAAGGAGACGTTATCTCTCCAAAGCTATTTACCGCTGCATTCCAGGACATTTTCAAGCTTTGGCATTGGAAAGGATACCATGTCAATGTTAGTGGTGAGTATTTTACACACCTATGCTTTGCCGATGATGTAGTCCTAATGGCTGAGACGTTGAAAGACCTACACACCATGCTTGAATATCTCAGTATCATCTAACGGATGCTAAACCAACCTCACCTGCACGCGGTACACCCTACCGACTAACCAACGAGGCTCTGGCGCTCCCCACCAACCCATGGTGGGAGACGGCCCAAAACCCTTCAAAGATTAAAAAAATAGCCCCAATCGAAAGGCCCCAAGTGGGCACTTGGGGCCTTTCGATTGGGGCGGTGCCGTTAGCAGCGCGGACGGACGCCGACTCGGCAAAGGCACCAGGGGTGCGAAGAATCCCCGGGCGGCAAAGATCTCCCGTCAAGCGACCTTGGCCCTGACAACCTATAACGCACGCATACTGCGGACCGAGGAGAAGCTACTGGAACTAGAAGAGGAATTGGGCAGGTTTCGACGGAGTATTGTAGGATTATCCGAAGTCCGAAGAGAGGGCGAGGAAACGATGATCCTTAAATCCGGCAACCTGCTCTATTTCCGGGAGGGCGAAGATCTGTCCCAAGGTGGTGTCGGGTTTATCGTCCACAAGTCTCTCGTGAACAATATTGTACAGATCGGATCAAATATGGTGGCACACCTTATACTCAGAATCAGCGAACGATATTCGCTGAAGGTCATACAGGTTTACGCCCCGACCTCGACGCTCTCCGACGAGGAAGTGGAAGCCATGTACGAAGACATTTCTCGGGCAATACATGGTTCCACGACCCACTACACTATTGTCATGGGTGACTTGAATGCAAGGCTAGGCAAGCGTGACGATGAGGAGTTGAAAATGGGATAATTTGGATCTGGGATCCGGAATCACCGTGGTCAAATGCTAGCCGACTACATGGAGAGGGAGGGACTCTATATGATGAACTCCTTTTTCAAAAAACGGCTACATCGAAAATGGACTTGAAAAGAGTCCGGATGAGGTGAAAAAAAAACGAGATTGACTTCATAATGTCGACTAAGATTCGGATATTCAATGACGTCTCAGTGATCAATTCATTTAATACGGTAAACGATCACCGTATGGTAAGAGGCGCATTGAATCTAAACGTAAAAGCCGAACGGTATCGACTGGTCTACGCTCCGTCCTGAAGCAACCCAGATCGAGCACTTTCAGCTCGAGCTTCAAAATCGCTTCAATTGCCTGGAGTGCTGCTCGGATGTGGACGAAAATAATGACAGGGTCGTAGAAGCTGTCCTTACGATGGATTAAAAATATCTAAAACCTCACCCTACTCAAAAAAGAAGCAAGATCTCGGAGCAGATAAGCAAGCTAATGGAAGAAAGGCGTGGAATGGTTCTGCAGTTTTCTGAAGATGCTCGTCGGCAACTCAATAGACAGATCTCGAAGTCTCTTACACGCGACATACGTCAATTTAATACTCAATGTATTGGAGGCGATTGAGCGGAATAAATGTTTCAAAGTGTTCGCTAGAGATCTGTCTCTCGGTCAGAGCTTGCTGACGAAGCTGAAGACAGAGGACGGCAGAGTCGTTACATCCCGTCCTGAGCTTGTGGCGGAGATCGAACGCTTCTGTAGACAGTTATACGCAACATTTCAGAAACATGTCATTGAAACAGGCTACAAACCCTAGAGCCAAATTAACCCGACGAAGAACAACAAGGCACCGGGGGATGACGGAGTCACAGCGGAGCTTCTGAAAGCGGGTGGACTACCAGTCCGGAAAGCGCTTCAAAAGCTATTTAACTCCGCCATACTCGAAGGCAAAACGCCAGAAGCATGGCAAAGGGGCATGATGGTGCCTTTCTTCAAAAAGGGCGACAGGGCCCAACTGAAGAATTACAGACCCATCACGCTTCTGAGTCATGTGTACAAGCTGTTTTCGAGTCATCACGAATCGTCTCGCACGTAGATTTGACGATTTCCAGCTTCCCGAACAAGCCGGTTTCCGAGACCGAGAAGTATATTCTGCCACTATGCTTGGCGTTTGTGGACTATGAGAAAGCTTTTGACTCCGTCGAGACCTGGGCCATACTTAGGTCACTCCAAAGATGCCGAATAAACTATCGATACATACAAGTGAAAACGCCACCATGTCAGTTCGGCTTCAGTACCAAAACTCGAAAGCAATACGACTTTAGCGTGGAGTGAGACAAGGCGATGTTATATCACCGAAACTGTTCACTGCCGCACTGAAGGACGTGTTTAAGCTTTTGGACTGGAAAGGACTTGGTATCAATATAAACGGCGAGTACATTACGCACATTCGTTTCGCTGATGATATCGTAGTCATGGCTGAGACCATGGAAGCTCTAGGCACAATGCTTGAAGACCTCTGTTGAGTTTCCCAACAAGTGGGTCTTAAAATGAACATGGAGAAGACGAAAATAATGTCAAACTCCCATGTCGTACCCACTCCAGTGAATGTTGGAGTCTCTACATTGGAAGCTGTCTATGAATACGTTTACCTGGGACAAATAGTCCGATTAGGTAAGTCCAACATCCAGAGAGAGTTAAATCGAGGCCTATGCTCTGCAGTGAGCATCTTACGGCTGATAATGACCCAAAATAAAAGTAAACCATTATGCAAAAATGTTAATGTTAAATATACCAGGATATAAAAAGTGAAAAGTAATATGTTTAAGTTCAATAATATATTCAATAAATGTCTGCATGTGTATGCAGTACATTTTTGTTTTGATGTTTTATATGTATAAACATAAAAATGAAAACGTTATAAAACAACAAAACAAAAATCATAGTCGAATGAAAGTTACCTATTACCTATTATACATGACTAGATTTAGCTGCAAATGCAATTTATGCCTAATAAAACTTATAATAAAAACACTATCCTTGAAGTTTGCTTAAATTCATAAAAATTAAAAAACTCCATAATTCTGTAAACAAATTATTTACCAAAAAGTAGTTTATTTCTTAGATACATCAATATTATTTTCTAGTTCATATGTAGGGTAAACAATTTTTACCTTGTAAGCATTGCTTACTTAAGTAAATACATTATATCAGATTTAGCACCTACAAAAAGATATAACTAAATTATCTTTATGCAATTAATTTGTTGCCTATATTTGATATGATGATCAAGGTTTTTATCATTAATTGTGTCAAAAGAAGCCATGTTTGATAACCCCTAAAATTAATTAAATAATTACTTTTGTATAATTCAATTGTCAAATACATATCACATATTGATTTTAAAATTAATTTAAGCTATAAAATGAGTCAATAAATTGCAATGCAACTAGTATTTCTTATAGAAGTATGATTAACCAAGTATCTGCAACATAATTAATCACTGTTAAATTATTTAAACAAATATAAATAACTAAGTATTCATAGACATTGTTATCTTTGCAAATGACCTGTGTCTTTACACTGGCTATGATGACCTGCTGTTATCTCTGCACATTAAACCAATGGAAACATAAACTTCCACAATTTTGGTTAACTGAATATTGTGATTTAATTAAATAATGGAAATACATATATTTCAAATTAAATAATTTAAAAAAATATGTATACAATGTAGCTGTCTTTTGATTATTATAGGGACATTTAGTTTATTTTAATTGTAAAATTCTTAATTTTATTGCCCTAAATTAATACTCATACTTGTAATGTAGGAAAATAAATGTAGATATTTCCTCACCTGTAAGCAAGACTCATACATTTGAATAGCTTTGTGAGAGATACTTCTATGGAAAGCTGTTGTTTATTCTCCTTTTTGTCAGTAGGTGGACACTGTTCTTTTGGTCCTGTTACCGAGTAAGTTGCTACAACAGCGACTTTTTGCACATTCTGCTCTTCATCAGGTACAGGTACTGCTAAATCGTCAAATTCATCTTGGGCTTCAGCTTCAAAATGCGACACCATAAAATGCCCCGAATGTATAGACTCTTTTCCTGGTCGCGTTTGCCGTTTTTCAATGTGAGTCATTTTGAAAAAAGCGAAGTGATCTAGAAATATAATGGCAACAAAATTAATGAAGTAAATAATAAAACCTATTCAACTTTTCGACTTAGCCATATTTTCCACTTATCACTTCTTCACATTCACACATTGTTTTTTTCATTTGACAATGACATTTACAGATAGAGGTGCGATGTAATTACAGACACAGATTACTGAATATGTAGCAAGCTAGTATTTAACAGAAAAGATCCCAAAACTAGGTATTTTACACAAATAGTTCTTTATATTTGTAAATACTGGGTCCTCATAGATTTTCTGTCTTTTACATATCGATTCAACCAAATTCTATCGATGCATCTTCTTTCTATTTTAACAATCGATATGTATTGCATCCTAATTTTGTTAGGATTGCGCACCCTAGATAAATCTCTAACTTCACGAAATTTGTAGCGATTAGTAATTCTTTGTCATGACAGTCATGACAAAGAATTACTAATCGCTCAAACTCCTACCAACATGGTACCAACATGGTTGGTAGGATTTTTTCATGAGACAGACTAACATTCTAGAAAACTTACTAAAGAGTAAATAATTTTGTGTACGTGAGTTTTTTTTGTCACAGTGACTGCGAGTGACCGACTAAAAACCGAAACGAATACTTCACAATATTATTATAAAGTATCAATCCCAAAATAATTGGTATCAAAACAACTACTACCACAAACAAAAAGGTAACAAAACATGTACTTAGTCATCCTCATATTCAGTTTCATCTTCATACACGGGTGAAATTTTTATACATACTTTTTATCGTCCCCAAAAAGAGGCTATAAATTGATACATAACAGTTATAACGCTCACCCCAATTCCATCCCCCTCTGTAACCCACCGCCACAGAATTATAATATTCTATGAACCCACCGCGTCTCCAAAGTGTACCAAACGTAGACTGCCAATCTATTAGACCATCGGACACCGTGGTCACACGAAACAAAAGATAAATCATTGACATCACAGTTGCGTACTGCTACATCGGGGGTATTCGGTTATTCGCGATATCGCAGATTTTTATTGCTTCAACACCAATGTTTAAATTAAATAAATTTGCAGCAGATTTTGATCGACATATTTCTAAGTATTATGACAGTATTTTTTATTTAAACAGCTGAGAAGCCGTAGCACATCTTGTAAAATATATTGAAAAATAAAATTTAAAACAAATCGATTCACAATTAACGAAGATATGAAGAAACATGCATTTGTTACCGGTAACGGAAATTATATAATCCGTTATTTATACAGTACCTACGTAATATATAGAATGGGTAGATACCTAAAACGTGTAGATAATTAATGAATTATTTATTTTAATAAGATTATGAATTCTGGGGTCTGTAAAAAAATAACCTCGAAATTTAAGACGATCGGTACGCTAAGCTTTAGAATGGTCTTAAATTTTTGACCTATCACGTATTCTATAGATATACCTAACATAATTAAACTTTTTAATAAAATATAAATAATAATAGTTAATTTTAATAAATATTAATTTTAATTTTAATAGTTAATTTTAAAATATAACTTGTTTATTTTGCCCGTCATTTTATAGATAGGCCGTCTTACATTGATAAATATATACCAAATTCTTTATATTTGACATATTGCCGGTACAGCAACAGGTTCTGTATACATTTCCTATTCCTAGGGAGTTTTCAATTCCATGTCAAGGAGATTATGATCACTATTGACAGATTGGGAATCCAATGAGTAAACAAACACTTGCGATTCTCCATACATTTTATACGGGCGCGCGATACATGCGATATCGCTCATCGAGATCGAATTGCATGTAGAGCCTAGAAGTATCTAAAATAAATAATAATAATAATTGTTTTAGAAAGTTATTGTGTTCGATAATAGCCGCGGTGGTTTAAGAAATAGAATCATATGAAAAGTCTCACTTAACGAACATATTATTTTTACCCTATTTGAAAGAGATAAATAGCCACTGTACTTGATATCTTGCTCGGCTTGCTTTTCAGCCGGGTCCTGTTATAAGTACTCAGTCCATGGAAGTTTCAAAACAAACGAATTGTCATGTATGATTTCAATATTAAAAACTTATGTTTTTCGAACGAAATTAGAAAGTAAAGAAAGCACTAAAAAGCACCTCACTAGATGGCAACTCTAGCAATAGTTGATTTTTGCAGGAAACGAATGAACCAAAGATAGGCATCTCCGTTGCTTTTAACTAGCATATTAAAAAACTGAAATAAACTGAATTACCGAGTAAAACACTACTTACCGAGCAATTTCTTTCGTGTCTCCCTCACAACGGGACATTGGCAGAATTTCTGTGTTTAACGGGAAAAGGCCAGAATAAAAAAAAAACTAAAATTTGCAAAGTTCAAAACTAAGATATCAATACAAATACGAAAAAGTGCAAATAGAATATGAGTTGTTTATTGAGTTTTGAAAATGAATTTACTTTTCTACATGAATGAAAACCGCAAGGGTTGTCATTGAGAATTCAAGAAAGTACCGTAGCGACATCTAGATTGATTTCAGGAACTAATGTTTTTTTAAATACTCCCTCCTAGTTTTAACAAGGGAGAGAAATACCTGCTCCTTATTTCCGTGTATAACCATAGATGCATAACAGAACAAGGCCATAGAAAAACTGTAGTTGCGTAGGGATAACGAAAATAAAAAAATATCGATGTATCGATATTTATTAAAATATCAATATTAGCATCGGTATATCAAAGGAAAATATCAATATATCGATTAAGTCGCAATAAACACATTCCTGTTTATTAGACAAAAATATCAAGAATACGTCATAGACAATATTGTTTTTTTTTTACATTCGATTCTATCTTCTACACTTTTGGGTTTCAACGACTTCAGTGCCAAAGGAATTAAAAAAATATCGTTTTCGATATAATTTTCGATACTAGATATTTTGTATCGATATTTCAATATATCGGATCAATATTTTCGGTTAAAATATCGATATATTGAATTCAAAAGATCGATGTATCGATACATCGCTACTTTTTCAGAAAGCCTATAGTTGTGTCCACAGAACAATAATACTCTACGAGGTTGTGTCCATTTTACTGTACTCTTTGGTTTTGTTGTCATGAAATATTTGCTTGTTCTTCTTGGTCTGTGAATATTTGATTAAAAATTTTGAATTGGATAGTTGTCGTTTTTGTTGTTTTACTTTTTATCTGTTATTTCGTTACTTAATAACGAAAATGAATTCGTTAGAGAATAATTCATCACCTACGTTTAAAAATTTAAAGAAAAGTTCTAGAAACTCTCCTATAGAATTAAAAGAAAAGTTAAGAAGGGTAGGTATATACTGATAAGTTTTGATTACTGCCGATGGAATATGAGACAAAATTGATATTTAATTGTACTGTACTTTTCAGAAATATAAAGACAAAGTGCAAAATTGTCGTGATACGTTACTAACTCGATTTCGTGGGGCAATCGAAGAATCAGACTTGCATAGCACTCTAACAGAAATTTATAGGGACTTGTTTAATTTCTCTGATACATCAGTAAATGAAGAGGAAGTGGAGGTTCTTGAAGAAATAAAGCAAGAGTTAGTTCAAGAAGAAGTCGATTGGTATGGCAAAAGAAAATTTTATTTTAAAGTGGTACTTGAAAATGATTAACATAAATTATCGGGTTGAATACTTTCGTGGATATCAGTCAACCTTATCCTCTTGAAGCCCAGTTTAAAAAAAAGGTACTCGCGAGCTTTCTTGCGACCCAAAGTCTTAATATTAAAGCAAATTAATAGTCTGGAACACCCAGATAAAAAATTGTTCATATCTCTGAAACAACATCAGATGAAGGTGACATATTTTAGGGACACTTTAACATTGATTTAACCAGAAATGATTCAAATAGCACATTGAGCCACAACATATGATTTAAAGCAGTTTGGTTAATCTGTGAAATCCTATAGGAATTGATACACTTAATATAGCAAAAAGCTATTATTATAAAATACAAATCATATCACAATCTCCCAGACCCAGCAATACATAAGTATACCCTAAAATAAACATTCAACTCAGTCTCTATTCATCTTTAATATTAAAAATACCAGTAATCGAAAGAAAGGAACATAAAAGCTCAAAATTGGGAAAAGTAACTAAACATAGTGATTAACATCACTCCTGACCAAGATTTGCAAAAAATATCTTTTTCATTGTTTTGTAAATCAGGCTTAAAGTATGGCCAATACTTGACTATCAGGCCTCGAACTGGAAAGAAATAATGCTAATAGAAATATTTTGATTTTTCTTTTTACCACATTATGGTAATTGACTAATTAGAACATGCAAAATGGCTAAATATTAATGAAAACTAATTAAAAATATAAATGCCCAGAGTACTAGTACTAATACAAATAATGTCATTAAATCGCCATATAAGTCAACAGTGTGCTAGTATTAATATAAAAAAAACTGAGTAAAAAAATTATGATATTGACATGAAACACATTCCTTTATCTGTGAAAAAGAATCTAAAAGTGAATAAGAAAGATTACAGAGATATAATTAAATTAAAGTAGCCTCTCCTCATAACATATGCCAATGCTATGACATATTTTGACAGAAAACTGAGAAAATGGTTTTGCCACTTATGAAAGCAGTGCTGCTATAACAATAAATATATTCAGACTAAATGTTAGTGTATACATGACATGGCACAAAATTTAAGCTTTGCAGATGACTGAAATATATATTTTGTAGTATTAGCACAATGGGTCTTAAGATCAAGCTACTTTAAAACTTAGGTCTGTCACACCAAAGTATATTTGTTCTAGTATTAGTACTTTGAACCTCAGGATGTTAAATTAGCTGTCTAATTTATAAGTTCTGAAAGCTTAGCACTGTTACTCTGAACATCCATGATGACATGACAAATAATGTTAAAAATAGGTTTTTGTTCAACTTCCCTATCCTAAACCACCAAGTAAAGCCAGATTTGTGTTGCAAGTATAATTTTATCCTTCTATTCTAGCAAGTATAATTCTATCCTTCATAGTATTATCCAAGAAATCAATTATCCATTCCAACTTTTGTCTGTTGATACATAGATCCACACTCCAAACTTATGTAACCAATTTCTGTTGGAATTAATATTGATGCTGGAAAGCAAACACATAGTAACCTGCAAAACCAAAATGGACATATGGAATGGAAAATCTTAGTATTTAAAAAAATATATCTTATTTCCCTATAAATTGACTAAGGAACACCTTATTTGTTACTATGGATGTTTATAGGAATTATTTATTGAAAAAAATTAAAGTTTTTCTGCTCTGAAAACACTTTTGGTTTTGCGGGTTACTATGTGTTTGCTTTCCAGCAATGATATCTGCACTCTGCTCTATGTTAGCCAAGATTGTGTTATAATTGAAGAAACAAATAGTTTATCAATATCACACATGCAAACTCCTTTGTTTTTCAAGGTCATCCTTACAGTCGAAATGTTTGATTTCTATATTTCACTCTCAATATTATTAACCATTTCATGTAAAGCAGAGTGTGATTTAACATTTTTTTAATAATATTTTTTTAGGTGGCTGTTGGAATATGATAAGACACAAATCGAAATGGACTGGTCTACTCTGGAACAAGAAGACAATGTGATATGTCCAATTTGCCAAAGAAAAGACTTGACAATCCAAAACAGTAATCTGTTATGTCAACAATGTAATTACTCAATAAAAACCCAAAAAAGTTTAATGGAAGTAAAAAAGGCTATTCTAAACTCTTTAGAAAACCATAGCTCTGTTTGTAACCATAAATTTCAATTTACATTTATGCCTGAACTTGACGACAGTCACATTTATCTTATTTGCAGTGGTTGCACAGAAATGCAAATTGTTATTTGAATTTAATATGTATTAAGAACTGAAAGTATGTAATAGTATTAAAACTTGAGCATTATTTGTTAAAAAATCAACAGATTTATTGTTAATGTTAGATATTTGTTATAAATAATATTATAAAGAGGAATAATTGATTGTTTGTTTGCATCAAATAGGCTCCTAAACAACTGGACCGATTTTTAAAATTCTTTCACCTATAGGTAGTTACATCATACGGGGTTGACATTGGCTATAATTTACACGTGCGAAGTTGCAGGAAAACGACTAGTTTGTTATAAACAGACATGCTATAGTATAGCACATGTGACTACGTAAGGCAAAATTTAATCATTCTATTTTAAGCCTTGGTTGCTTTGAATTTGATTCAAAATTGATTGCAATAATTTAGCATTTTGTGGTAAAATGGAATGTTACTGCATATACTATATAAAGGGACTCGGGATTAAAATAATTTTATAACAATTATTCATTATTTTGACTAGTTGCATTTATATAAATGTTCATAAAAGTTTTAAAAAGTTGAACTTGTATACCAATCACAGCTTGGTTCTTTTGTTTGAAGAACATGACAGATAAATTTCTTTTGAGACTGATCCTTTAGCTTTTCGATTGATTTTTTATTTGACTATTTCTTACACTTGTTATCTTTAAAGCAGTGGTGTGAGAAGAGGACAGCGCTGCAAGCAAAGAAACTCATTTGTGTGAGTAGAGAGGCGAGACAGGTTTTCCGCTGATTTTAATTCATATTACCTATTTATAGTACTATTAATTTTGGTAGCACTTTACAGTATTTTATGACAGGTATTGTTTTTATCAGATTGTATTAGACTAAGCTAAGGAGTTGATCAAAATAGCACTCAAACATGCAAAATTTCATAAATATTTCAAAATATGATTTTGGCAATTATTTTAGCTTATAATACATATATAGAAAAATACTTTTGAGAAGTTTGACGACCACGGGTGCCTAAAATCGTTTGACAGTGATCAACATAAGATTCGAACCCATTATCTTTTTGTAAATTGTATGACCAACTGTCTCCAAATATTTAACATATTTAATTGTATGTGTTTAATAATATTGGATTGTAAATATACCTATAATTAAAAGAAATATTATGCAAATTTAATTTAATTCATGGTGTCATTAGTTTTTCATTGTGATTATCATTGGTTGCATGTTGTTTATGCATTTATTTTTTTAATGGTTCAGAAATCGAATAACCAAGATATTTAAAGCACACACACATTAGATAACAACAAAAAGTTGTGCATGTTTTTAAAGTTTTCTATCAACAGATTACCGCTTCTGATACTTATTGATGGTTGTATTGTTACATAGATACTAGATAAAGTTTTTTTTATTCATAAAACGTTATTTAATTTATTTCTCAAAAACTGATAAGCGGGTGGACGAAAACTAGATTTTGTGGTCGAAAACCGGGCAAATCGGCAATTACCTATTTATTTAACAATATTTTAAGTTTTTGATTATGTTGACTTAGGAAGACATTGCATTAAGGCACCTTTGAAAAATCTTAAATAAAAATATCTGTGATAGCAATTCTAGTAAACGAATGTTATCATCATCATCAGCCCTTTTACTTACCCACTGTAGGAAACAAAGTTATATCAATAAAAAAATACTCACAAATACCCAAAACTGCCAGACGTTTTCCTCAGAGGAGTTTCGCGGCAATTTCATCTCTAGTGGTGGTATTGCGACACTATCACATATACAAATTCGTTCTATAACAAACAAACAATTCCTTTCCTCTTTATACTATACTAGCTGCTGTCCTGCGACTTCGTAAGCTTCACGCTACTATTAAGTAAAAGAATATTTATAAAAAATAACCTATCCTACGGGTATGCTCAGACCCAACGGGTATATGTTTTATATTATACAAATAAAACAATTTTATTACAAAATAAAAAAATGACCTTTTAATTCAATTCATGAAGCATGGTAACAAGGTATATTGTAAATTAACATCATTTTTCTCATACAGTCGGGGTTAGAACATTTTATTACAGTGTTTAATTCCTACAAAAAATATTAAGACTAAACGGTAACTTGTATAAAATGTACATTTTATAATAGTTAATATGTTGTATAAAACAGTACCATTATTTTACCAATACAATACATGGGCATTATTTGTAGCAGCATGGTTCATTGTTGTATAACAATCTACTAGGAATTATCTAGGCCTGAAAATATAAACTTTCAGTCACTTCTACACCCGCGGTAAGCTTATTATTAAACCATTTTAATGATTGTACAATTGCTTTCCCAAAACGAAAATGAGGTACATAATTTTGCCTAAAATTAAAATTATTGAATCTATAAAATAAGAATACGTGAAATAATTATTTTATATAATTCGCTATGATTATGAATAACCCAAAACTAACATACATTGTTATATTAACACAAACTTATTTTTGTATTCCATACCTAGTTAAAACATATTTCATAGTATTTTAAAGAGCATAGAGCAAATTAGGAATTAAATTATTTGATTTATGACAGTCTAATCAATAGTGATTCGTTGATTTAAATAAATAAAATCAACGTTAGACAAAATCATATTAAAATAAAACGATTATGATTTTTTGCTCAAATCTAGCCTAACTGAGATGCTAGACCTATGCAAATAAAACTTTGAGCATAATATAAACTTTAAGGTAAAATCCGGGGGACTGGAAAACAAATTTTGAAGCGAATATTCCACTACCCCCGTTACACCATTGCTCTTTAACACATGTAAACCATAAAATACACGAAGTGTATATAATATAATCGAACTCGAAATTTCGTGGGAAAAGTCAACGCTTCTGTAGCATATAAAACGTGGTATGGAACACAAAATTTAAAAGAGTTGTACACACAACAGTACATTATATTAGCACAAAATCGCAATCTGTTCCATCGATTTTGAATATAACGGCCATTTTAATTAAGTTCAAAATCGATTAGAGAAGAATTTTGAAGATTTATTTGATTCGTGTGCTGTTGATTATACCTAAATATATTAAGAACGAAATTAAACTATAAATAAATTATCCGCACACCATCATACATTGCCAATACACTCGATTTAAATAACATTCATAAGAATAGAAAAGAATTTATCATTTCATTAATACAATAGTAATTATGTCAGTCTAAATAATTTCAATAAGTTTATAGCAATTTTTGTGGATACAGAAAAAAATAAAAAGATGAAATAAAATTGAAATGCAGCCTAATCTCGTAGTGCTGTAGCGACTCATACATATGCTGAAGTACAACATTCCAGCTCCTTAAAGGAAGTAAGGTTTTTTAAAGTTACATAGTACAATACAACATAATATTAAAAAAGAACAAGGGTGCAAAAGAACTGCACCCTTAGCTTGAAAAATTATCGTGTAAATCAATGATATTGAGCACAAATGTCCAATTTTCGCATCGGTAATTTTAGTACCCTTTATTTTGTTCTATAGACCAATTCGATTTATGCATATTATTTCTGAGCACATCCCATATCTGAATGAAATATATCTGACAGAAAGAACAGTAATTAAATTAAGAATGTTTGAATACGAAAGATACTGTAAAAGTTACATGTAGGTTATTGCTACTCATGACAATTTAGTTTTTTTTTTTTAATTATCATCAACAAATTAATAATATATGTGAAGAAATTATGAAACGACAAATTCTTTTCTCCTATATATGGCAAATACTTCAATTAAACGTTGAACACACATTGTTTTTAGAATGAGAAATACATATTGTTAATCAAAACAGCTCATTAATTTTTATACCCTATCTAAAATTTCAGGCGTGTCAAAATTTATTGTAAACATTGCTTGTAGTAAGAGTGTCAACGTTTTGAAGATAAGCCTCTTACGATATTCAAAATTTGCATAAAGGCGTGTATCCACTTTGCGAGGCTGCTTCGCGAGGCTTACCTCGCGAAACAGCCTCGCGATGTGGAGACGCGTTTCCCTCGTGAGCCAATTTAAACGATGCCGCGCATACGCGACTCCTGACTCTTTATCGGGTGTCTGTCCGTGATGAATGGGTGCTCAGTGTGAGTCGCTCAGTTGCATTTACGAAATGGAAGACGCTTCGAAGACTCGTCGTAGCTGGATCGTGTTGACTGTGTTGATGCAAATTGAGCACACCGCAAAGCTTATTGCTCAAACGAGCAGCCTCGCGATGTCGATACGCGTTTGTTGACGTAAATAGAGCGCACCGCGAGGCTGCCTCTCGCTCAAACTAGTGGCCTCGCAATTTGGATACACGCCCTAAGAATTACTGTTCCAAAAAAATAACATTTTTTATTTTATGAAATGAGCATTTGTTTTCTGTACTATAAAACATTGGTTCCAATATTTTGTCTTCAGTTTTATGAAAACATACAAAACAATTCATGAAGATAATATAAAAAAACATAAATATGTGAAATCTTGAAAGTACATTAACAAGCATTCTTTACAAACAACTTCTGATAATATGACCCTTATTTGGTGCAGTCTGTTAAAAAGGTTAGATATTTTGGTCATCAATATTACCCAGCAATAGATTTAATATAAGACTGAGACCGACCGATGTTTATGTAACAGTGTGCGGCTAAATTAATCTTTAAATATACCAACATAGCTAATAGTGATTCAATAATGTCACCATTTTAAGACACTGATTGCATTGCAAATGCTTCGCTTACTAGATTACTTGGACACGACAATACAGACTGGACCATTAGACTTACAATAATATAATAATGTTATCATCAATAGCATTATCTTCAATTGATAAAGTTACTGTTTTCTGCGCAATATTTACGTAATTACAATTTATATGATCCAGTCACGAATCGGCGCAAACCACGAGATTAGCAATAGGAATATATGGTAACAAAGTCTCTTATGCTGTAAATAATGTTTACTCATGAAGATGTTACAACCAAGTACGACATAATGCACTGAACTGAAAAGAAAAACTATTTCAAATGGATATTATGCCTTAAAACGAAAAAATTGAATTATTCCCTATTTTGATGTTTTATGTAAGTACCCGTAAAACGAAAATTTTTCAAGAATTCACTGTCAAAATGCTATGTTACCATGTCAGACACATCATAATTATCACAACTACAAAGACAATTTGATCTCTATAGTTATAAATAATAACAGCAACGTAATATTTCCAAGTCAATATATTGTCAACGTTTGCTAGTCCAATGGATTGCGTTAATAATAATTATGTTCATTATATATTAATATATATATATATATATAATAAATTATTCTAATTGAAGTACTCACTATATTATCGGTAGACCTTGTACTTCCATGAGGTCCTCTTGCTGAGCGTGAGCGTGAGCGTGGTGGGAGTGTGCGTGAGCGGACCCGGGTATGGCGAACGTGTGATGGTGCGGTCGAGGTCGACGCGGCGACCGGGCGGTTATTATACGCGGCTTGTGTATCTCGTCCAAAACCGACGGTGCCACGTATGTGAAACCCTAACGGACCGAGGAATAAACTATAATAATAGGAAACTCCGTACGCTAGTGAAAACAAGTGCGAGTCGTTCCGGCTCAAAAAAACATCACGTTTGTTGTATGGGAGCCCTATTTAAGTTTAGCAGTTGGTATTTTAGTCAACCATAAAAAACTTAACAATAACAATCTAAAACAACAAAAACATAACAAAAATGATGTATGATCTCAACACAACCCACCTAAATAAGTGTACTCGTCAATCAGTGGTTTATTTGTTAACAGTACTGCTTTAAAGCAATTACGTCATCAAAATGGCGCCCAGGCGCATTAGCAATTCATAAGGATTGTAAAAACTCAAATCTTTACTACGATAGATAATAATAACAAACAAAAATAATAATGGTGAAACACACGAATTTATAAAGCAGCGTTCATTAATGATAGAATGGCCGTGAAGTGTCGTTCGTACGCGAGTATTTATGTCGTTGGTTTGTCCTCATTATCGCTTTCCATCATTGTGTGGTCATATACAATATACACAAACATTTTAGTCCCAAAATATTCATATAAATTACGTTTTCACTCTTAGCTTTTTTGTGATGTAATAAAAATATAAGTAGAATACTTACCTGAAACATTAAATTGGCACTTTCACTAAGAGTAGACTCATCTGGTGAATCAATGGGAGTTTGTAGTGTAAACCTCGTATCAAATTGTGAGACATCATCCTCACTGGTCTGGAAAGTGTAACACAAAGTTTATTTGACGGTCATAAAGGCAAATAGTACCATAGCTATAACTGGGTTAAAATATACCCACGAGGTCCACACACAACAGCCTCGCGAGAAATTTTACCGCGCATAGGTGTTCGGTCTCAAACAGTCACAGTCGACAATAGTGTATCCAGTAATAGCTACTTGTTTTGTGCAAAAAGTCTATTACAAGAACTGTTAAAATTATTAAATCAGGTATTGCTTAACAGCTTCTAGATTACGTTACGTATCAGGAAAAAATAACTTACCAGTCTAGGTTTAATAGGAGGTTCGAGACGTCGTGCAAAAACATCGTCCCATTGAACGTGTTTGAAGAAGGCGTGGCCTCGAACAGCCGCCGCCCCAGTAGCACCTAAGCGCTGTGTTTCGGAACGCTTCATCAGACGCCTAATCAAATCCCGCGCATCTTGTGTGAGGTAGCCAGGTAACATTAACTTTGCTTTTAATATTTTCTCTATAGTTTTTGTACGATTGTCTCCTGTAAAGGGAGGCTGGAAAACAAATTGGACAATATTTACCTTGCTTAAAACTCTCATATAACTACTTCAGAGAACCCTAGTCACTATTTACCTGACCAATAAGCATATCATACATCAAGGCACCCAAACTCCACCAATCAACAGCTTTTCCATGTCCATTCCTGGTCAAGATTTCTGGTGCCCTGAACAAAGGAAATACCGTAAATACAATATCCGTAAATACAATATATATATTTGTAATATTTTTTACTCACATATATTCGATTGTGCCACAAAAAGTATGAGTAACAATTCCTTCTTGAATGTGTTCTTTGCATAAACCAAAGTCTGTGAGTTTGACATGGCCTTGAGCATCCAAAAGCACATTTTCTGGTTTTAAATCACGATAAATAATGCCTAGACTATGTAGATGTTCAAGAGCCAAAATTATTTCTGATAAATAGAAGCTGGAAAAAACAAATAAACATATATTAGAGTTTATATTTTGTTATTAATATGTTTGTATTATTTATCTATCTATAATGTCAGAGATCACCTCCTTCCATTTTGAACGATCCTATGTCAGGACCTCTTTCACTTCTTCTACACACATCGAACTTTTCATACAAGAATGCGGACTCATATTTATTATATATGTATATTTTTTACTACACTACTTTAAAAATAAAATTATATGGAAATTATTAACTATACTCCATTCACTATAACATTAGAAAAAAGAGGGTCATAGAAGCAGCAGTACAGAACATTTTATTTTCAAGATAAATTTAAAAAATCTATTTTAGTTTTGTTGAAACTTTGAACGTTAGGTAGTCTGAAAGAGCTGGGCAATTTTCCATTTTTTATGATACCTCGGGGTTGAGATGAGGCCAGCATTTTATAAATTCATCTTTTAGTCCCAAGCCAACATGGAACTAAAACTGAAACTATCTGTGTGTTTTGATAAATTCTAATTGTAAGTGTAATAAGTTAGACTATTGATGAAGACATTGGAAAAACTCCCTGAAATGTCAAAGTTTGAGGGTAGGTATGGGGGCTTAGAGTGTAATTTTTGTAGGCCACCCGGGCCTGTACCGGCATCGTCCATATTTACCAAAACTTAACAACAAAAATAAAACAATAACATCACGGAAAACGGATAAACAACAAGAAAGGCAGTAGCATTCACAATGGATGACAATCCCAGATTACGATTTTAACAATTATGAATAAATAATAGTCTGACAAAATTAAAAAGCTGTACTACCGAAACGCTTGAAGGGGTTAGGCAACGTTTTAAATTTGGTAGTGTTATAGTGACATGAGAATCGTGCCGAAACTATCCAACCCTGCTTCTTTAGGTTCTTTACGATGGACACTTTTTATTGTAATACTTATTAAATCATTTAAGTTAGTCATATACTCATAAATTTGTTTAATAGTTAGCTTAAATGACAACAGTTAAGTATAGCAACTGATATTTAAGTGAATATGTAGCAAATTAGCCGTCAGTCCTAAAAGTAACATGATTATTGATATTTTGTCACAAAGTATACCATAAAAAGAACCTTATTTCACTTCTGTCTAATGCTATAATGAATGGAGTATAACTAATCTAGGCAATGGTTATGATAACATTATCTATTTAAATTATAATCAAATAAAGACTAAAAAATAAATGAATATATTTGTCATTCAGTCTTTTAAGCATCCATGTCAGTATTTAAACAAATCATTAACAACATTCTTCTTCTTCTTCTTAACTTTAATGCCACTTTGCATTACCACAATACTGCCAACTTCACGTAGATCATTACATGATTTAAATGCATTCTTTCCACCAAACAATATTGAATTACCTTTATCCTATCCCTTATCTTTAAACAAATACCATTTTTAAATTTTAGTGTCATGGCCATACAAAAATGAACATCTTTTGTCTTCATCATTGCCCCCACACAATAACTGAATTAGTAATTACCTAATTAATAACACCAAAATTAGGAACTACTGTTTTAATACCTGAATGTGTAATTTATTTAGCAAGAAACACTTACCAAGCAGTGTCCTCTAAAAATATTCCTTCACGTTCTAGATGCATAAACAGCTCACCACCACTCAAATATTCTAATATTAAGTATAATTTACCACCTGTTTGAAATGCATACACCAGTTCCACTATAAAAGGATGCTGAAACATATGACATAGTTATTCAGTTGACTACTTTTCCTCCATTTAATAAAATCGTGAAAAATAACAAAAATCACAGAATTATTTATTTGTGACTGTGTAATAAGATTTGAACTTCTGTATTTAACAAAATGTTTATATCTTGTCTTGTTCTCAACTGGCAAGAGGTTATACAGTGAATAAGCTTATATTTCTTCTTCTCTCTATTATTACTTATAAAGAGTTAATATTAAAACAGGGCTGTTAAAGGAATACCAAATATACATTTGTTTTATATGATAAATTGTATCATTATAGTTATAACTGTAAAAAAATACCAGAATATTTGATGCCATTTTAATGTCAGTGACTAGAACTCAAGATGATATTAGAATGAATTTAAGTTATACTAGTTAATATAATAAGTAAATGAGTTTAAAATATGATGAATATTTTTGATATTTTAAATATCAACATTGCTTATTTCTAAGGTTCCATATCCAAAAGAAATATGTATAACAAGAACCAACTTTAAAGAAATATTAAACAAAATTGTGAGACTTGGCATAAATGTATCCATGTGTCATTTTATCAACATAAACCAACAGACATGAATGTTGAGTCCTCGAGTTTTGCTTATTTTCAGAGTAGATAACATACTACTTATTAGATAAATAATTAATTAGTTGTACTAAGTCAATTATTTTATGATTGAACAATAAGAATGAATGTTAGCTTAGTAAACACTCTTTATGATTACAATATTTAATAATAGCAAAGTACTAAGTACAAATTATTGAAAGTTGGTAGAAAAACTGATAAAGGTAATAATTCTTTAGAATTTCATTCAGAGCTAAGATTTAAGTGTTATAAGTCAAATTAAGATAGTAATTTTATTCAACCAACTCCCCTAGAATTCCACATGAATGAATGGATAGATGCTTCTAAATATTTACCGCTTTGGGAATGATATAAAAGTTAAGTACCTTGACAGCTTCTAATATATTTCTTTCAGCTTTTGTGTGTGCAGTATCTTTTTGGTTACGGACTATGGAAGCTTTTTTAAGTACTTTCATAGCAAAATGTGAGCCTGCATCTGGTCCGGTAATTTTACGAACTTGAAATACTTTTCCATATCCTCCTTTTCCTAATACCTTACGAAGTTCAAAATCTTGAGGTCCAAGTCGTTTACACTGTCCAGGGTTAACAGTGTCTTCTGATAACTGTGTGATTTCAGATCCTTCTGATCTATAAAAACAAACAAATGTTTGATGATGGCATTAAATTAGAATTATTATTGACAATAATTAGAAATAGATGATGAGCTGATTAATACTCACTCTACAATAGTATTCACATGTAACTCTGGTTCATAATCTACCTGTAATATTAAATTTTTTGGCATATCAGTAGTTATAATTACAATATTGATATTAGCATCTATTTAGATAATAAAATTCAATAGCAATATTTCAATTTATTATACTGTGTCATAATAAACATGCATGGTATTTTTTATAAACTACAAACATTATAACTTTAGCTTACAATATCAATTATATAATAAATATAATACGGTCTTTAGCATTATTTGAAACGTGTGATAGTTATATTATACTAAAGAACAAATCATCCTTGACCATTGAATAAATTTAGAACTTTAAGGTTAACCAATGTCTATTTATGTAGATACCAGATTCTTTATTTGATATTTTGAAGTAATTACCTCATCGACATCAATGATATCGTCTTCGTCAGAATCTCCCACTGGAACTGTATCCACATCTAAATCCAAATCAAAAACACCTGCCATATAAGATGACATTTCAGGAATCTCACATCAGCAAGAAAATTTTTTGTTCATATGATTAAATAGAAATATGTACGGATATATGAATATTGTAATAAACTTTAGATAAACTAGAAAAAATATTATGATCTTTATTTTATAAATTAATGTTAAATCCACTTCTGTCACGCAACACTAGAAAATGTAGAAAAGAAAATATGAGGAACCAACGATGAACCCCAACAAACGAATCATAGAGAAAAATTATCCATCCAATATAGCATTGTGCATACTTTACTCTTTCGTTGTGTGTAGTTCGAACAATACTTTCGATACCAAATAGGTATCGATACTTTCAAAAGCAATACCCGAAACTGATTACTCGATACCGCAGCTGATAATAAATCGAAAGTACACATAAAAATTGCCGATATCGAGTATTGCTTGATACGGCTTATTCACAGTTGTCATTTAGCTTCTATGCCTAATAAATTTTTGGAAGTATTAGTCTGTGGTTTTTCAATTTTTATTTTTATATTATCCTGGCCTCAATACAATATACTTCTGAGTTTCTTCAATCATATACATGTTAGAGAAAAGAGTTTTTGAAGATTACTTTTTTCTTGACAATAATTTTATTTTTCTACTACTGTCAACTAGTGTTTCTGTTTTATCTATCGTTCACAAGTCATTCATTAATATATATTTTACAATCAAAATATATTTATTATTTATTACAACCAATTTATTCTTCGACACTCCGAGTGCAACTATCGATGCAATTAAATGAAGTGTGTCGATCCAATAGGTATAGGGCCGCAGTAAACGCTAAAGTCGACGAGTAATGGCGATATATTTACGATGAATTACAAGTAATAAAAATAGATATTACTAAACGAAACTACGCTGAAAAGTAAGTACGCTGCTATTTACGAGTATTACTTGTAATACTCGTAAATTAATTCATTTTCCACAATATTACTTGTAATATTGTGGAAAATGAATGATAACAATGCAACGACGAGTGCTAATCGTAGCGCGGATGCACCAGCGGTGGTACCTACAATTTCCGCTGGGTCGGCACTACCTTCGATAGAGAGATTGAAAGGTAGTAGGAAATTTTAGGAAATGAAGTAGGATATTTGACATAGTATGTATACTTGTACACGCTGACCTATGGAAATATCTAGAAAGTCCAGCTGATCATAGAAATCCAGCAGCAAAAAGGGGAAATCAAAATGCCAGAACCAAGATATGTTTCCTGATAGAGACTCCGTGTAAAGTTCATGTACGAAAAGCGAAAACAGCTTTCGAGACTTGGAATAATCTCAAGGTAGCATATGAGGACAAAGGAATCAACAATTGTGAAGGAATCAAAAAGTGTGCCATATAATAATACATCACATAAAATATATTATTTTGAAAAACCTTAGACATTAACATTTGAATGAAAATAAAAATCCGTAAATTACCATTTACTTATGAAGAATCTCCCAGGCTCCACCCATGAATGGTGCTGCTGGTGGGATAAATTTCCATTGGATGGCCTCGTTAGCAGCGAAGGTCGACATTTGCTCACCGTACAGCTTTTTCAATTCTCTATCCAAACCGACAAAAGCCGTCCCGTTGTCAGAATAAATTTCCTTAGGACGTCCTCGGCGGGCGATAAATCTTCGTAAACTCAACGTCACTGCGTCAGTAGAGAAGCTGTATACTACCTCTAGGTGAACCGCTCTTGTGACTAGGCAGGTGTAGAGGGCTACGTAGCGCTTTTTACGTCGGCGGCCGATGGTAACGTAATCAAGTCCCGTAAAGGTGAACGGTCTCTCATTGTGTGCTAATCTCACTGATGGAAGTTGACCCATGGGAGGATTGTACGGCATAGCCTTACGATGTCCGCAAAATAAGCAACTGTTAGCGATTAATCGTACCATGATTCTGAGGCCTCTGAACCAGTAACATTGTCTAATTTCGTTCACCACGGTCTCGGTATTGGCATCTGCAGCTCTTTGGTGAAATTGCAATACTAGCAGGCGTACAGCAGGATGTTTTCCGTCGAGAATTACCGGAACTTTAGTAGAGGCGCAAATCTCTGCGGCAGCAGTGATCCGTCTTGCTAGATGAATCAGGTTATCCTTGTCGATAGTGGAAGATAGGTTCCGAAATAAGTTCAGTTGGCGAATTTCGCCAAATGAAATGTTGGGCATCTCTGTCTGCCGCCTTAATTTTTACCTGAGGGAACATCTCCCTAATGTCGGCAGACAGACCACCCTTTCCCTCTCGAAACCGAAATAAAATGTCCAATATGGAATTTAGTAAATCACAGGTCCTGTCAATAACATTGAATATAGACTAACACCGGTAGATTTCGCAGCGGCGTCATGAATGATGGGAAGTTTACCGGGTTTGTTAGGGTTGGTGACGCCAAAATGAGGTAAGCACCACACTCTTTTATTACTACTTCAAATCTATTATCAAGTAATTAGCGAGTACTCTCTTCTAAAATTTTGACAACCTTTGCATCATTTTTACTGAGGCAATCCCTCTTAACAATGCCCAAAGAATCGAGCTTACAGTAATTCTGGTTAATTGAGTCAAAGGTAGAATAATCAACATATCTCGCAAAATTGACGATCAATTTTGCGAGATATGTTGGTGATTGACGAACTCAATAGGCTTAGTCTTGCTAGAGTCAAACCCAAACAAAACCCAACCAAGATTTGTGTTAATGGCAACTGGTTGTAACTAGCGGTTTTCAATGCCAATAATGAGCTTTGGTTCGGCCCGTTGATAAGAAAGCTCGTCAATCAAATCAGATAAATATGGTAATTTATTAATGTCATCGCCACGGATTGTTTGACTTGACAACCCTAAATTATCAATTGATATAGCATTCCGAATTGTAAATGTTTTCATACTATGACGACCCTTAATATCGAAATCAACGTATGTTCGTCTTTTTGCTTAAACCACCGACGCAATCCAGGCGAACTTGCATCTCAGGTCCCACAATACCTATTTGTCTACATATGCCAGAGTCGATAAATGTAGCTGTTGAACCATCTAAAAATGCGTAGGTATCTATGGCACGCGATAATCCGCAAACTGTGACAGCAACGATTTTTAAGTACGGTTTGTAATTACCTAGCATTCTATCAGCAATTGTGTGAGCTACTAATTCGGAACCTGTCTGCTGAAAATCATGTGATTGGTTCAATAAGTTCAAAGCATCACCACCAACAACGGACTCGTCATTTTCTTCTAAATTCATGTGAGCAACTAAATAATCCGCGTTGTGCAACAGCTTGTGACGTCTTAACTTACAATTAGAAACATTACAAATCTCTTTGGAAGCTTTGCAATATTTATAACAGTGCGAACCCTTTTTTAAGACACCTATGGCAGACTCTATTTGCTATGCAAAATCCCACCTATCAACAACTGACAATGTCAAAAATTTGACACATTTATTTAATTAATGTTTATATAAAAGACACGGTTTATTTTCAGATATTGTTAGTAACTCGTTTTTATTTTGAGTTATCTAATGTAGGAACGTTTTAGGCAAATTTGAATTATTTTCTGCTGAATTAAGAGTATGTAATTTTTCAACTTTAGTGTGACAAAATTTATCAGTGATTAGACCAAACTGCAACAGCCTCTCTCGATAAAAACTCGGCTAGAAGTTCCAGTTTAGTTTTATCATGTTTGGACAGGTTAATCAAAGCAAAATCAGTCCACCTAGAGCATAGTAAGTTAATTTACTGAGAATATTTTGGAAAATTTCAGGTCATTTTAAATAGCATCTTTGATTCAGTAGTTTTACAACCTTCACACAATTACGAACTTTGCAGACAAATTCGTTCAAACATATACTATCTAAGCATAGTTTAGATAATAACTTAATATTAGAAATTTCTTGTAGAACTATCAATTCAGCCCTACCAAACCGTAGTTCTAAGGCCCCTCGCCCACGGCGACTTTTTGTAGCGATACAGTCGCGCGTTCGCTAAACGCGCGACTGCATCTTTTCTAACGCGTGTTAGTCGCATTTGCAACGCGTTACTAACGCACTACTGCATCGCGATTGTATCGATATAAATGCGCGAGACCGCGTCGCGCTACTAACGCACTACTGCATCGCGATCGGGACTCACGTCTTCCTGAGTATTCGAATAAGATTGCAAAAAGAAAGGCATGGGAAGAGATAAATGAATTATTCAATGCAGAATTTGGAGAAAAAACCAATAAAGAAAAGAATGATTGTGGTAAGTTATTTATTTAACTTTAGTATTGGAGCCTCCGCACACACAAAATGTGTTACAATGTACTTGAGTCGGACTTCGCATATACCGTACTTTATCATTAAAAACGCAGATGAGTGTTGAGTATGATGAGATGTTCTAGAATGAGTAAATCAGAAAACAAAAATCAAATAACAACAACTGATGACCATCTGGTCATCAGTTGTTGTTATATGATTTTTCTAAAGATTTTTGTGTCGTATCTGCATCGCGACCGAATCGCGTTTGCATCGCGACCGAACCGCGTTTGCATTGCGACTGAATCTGGTCCCGTGGGCGCGGGCACACAGCTAGCGACTGCTTCGCGTCTGTATCGATGCTACGCGCGAGAGCATCGCGACTGCATCGCTACAAAAAGTCGCCGTGGGCGAGGGGCCTAAAGCATTCATCACTTCCGTAATTTCACTAGCTGACATAAGCAAACCTGAAACAGCCTCCCGTGCTGCACCTCGCAGAACCATGTCGATGAGCGCTAAATTCTCGGAAGGGGATTACGCCGTCATTGTGTTAGTGAAGACACGCTTGAAGGCCAGCCGCTCCAAAGGCTTGCCGTCGAAGGACGGAAGGCGGCAATTGCCAATCTTCGGTCGTGACGACGCACCATTTGCAAGCGAAGTGATAGCCTGTGCTATATCTATATCTATAATATATAAAGCTTAATTACCACTGACTGACTGACTCACTCACTCACTCCATGCTTTTTTCGGGTAGTTAAAGTAGGAAAATGATATTTTCATGTATGGAGACTGACTATATTTTTTTTAAATGAGTTGAAGTACCATATCGGTACAGCCAAAAAACAAAATGGCGGCGAGATAATTTTTTCAATTTCTACAGTATTCACTCTACGATTACCATATTCAAAATGGTCGTAGAGTGGGCTAAAAAAATGGCAATGAAAAAAGGTTTGTTAAAAAAAACAAAATGGCGGCCGAGATATTTTACCTCGAAAATTGACA